CCAGCAGCAACCCGGCCCCAATGCCTACCACATGACCTCCATGCTAGGGTCCATGGGGTTTGGTTCTTAATTACAGGTCCTTGGGCCTTAGACATTATTACCCATTTCTCCACTGGGTTCCACCTTCTCTTGTTCACCTCTATGTCCCTAGTTGCTCTTTCTGACATCAGCTATCTTCTCTTCTCACTTTATGTTTCCAAGAAGCAATCTCACCCATCCCCCATCTTTAATCACACCACCTCACTGATGAACCCCAAGTTGTCTTCAGATCTCCATTTCCCAATTCCCAAGGCCTAGCTTCATGGGTATGTGACTGGTGCAGTGGCACAGGACACCATGCTCAGAAGGGCCCCTCCCTGGGGATTTAATGCTCTGTGGTCACTATCTTGGAATTCTTAAAAACGTTATCTTTGAAATTCGAATTGGTATCCTATAAGTCTATCAGTCTGCTCAGGCTGCCATAACCATGTACCACAGACTGGGTGGCTTAACCAATAGAAATTTATTTTCTCACAATTCTGGAAATGAAGGCCAAAAGCAAGGTGCCAGCAGGGTAGGCTTCCTCTGAGGGCCATCAGGAAGGGCTCTGTTCTAGGCCTCTCTCCCTGCCTTGCAGATAGCCACCCCTATGCTGCCTCTTCACATTGGTGTCCTTCTGTCGCCATATGCCCCTTGATGTCTCTCTGTGTGTTCTAGGCCCTTCTTATAACATCAGTCAGATTAGATTAGGGCCCACCCATATGATCTCACTGAACCTAATCACCTTTTTAAAGGCCCGATTGCCAAATACAGTCACATTCTGAAGTACCAAGGCTTAGGATACAGGAATTTTGGGGGACACCATTCAGCCCATCGCAGCAATTGAAGTCAGATGAGGCAATGAAGCATGCACTTAGGGCTTAGAGTCGTGGCTCTCTGTGGTCCTGCTTTCTGCCACCTTCCCAGGACACACTCTTAGGTGCCTCCCTGCCTCTTGGCCTTCTGGCCACCTAGCAATCCCTTCCTTCTACACTTAGAAGGGCACAGGGGTGCAGGTGCTGGGAGGACCAGGGCCCAGCCATCCTTGCCCAGGGATGTCAGTGCCGCTGCATGTTTGGAGGTGATTTGGCAGGGGCAAGTCTTGCACCCACCCCAATCCAGGTATCCAGCATATCCTGGTTGATGTTGCAATTCCCTGGGATTTCCTGTAGTCCATGGACCTATGGAAGGCTGTGGGAAAGGAAAGTGACTTCCCTACTTCCTAGCCCTGGGTCATTCAGCCTCTTTGAGAATCTGACTAAAGTTAGATAACCTCTAGCCTGGAAAGTTGACATACATAGACAGCCATGATTTTTATACATATTAAGGGAGTGATGAACTTCATAAAGCTACTCTGTGCACCTCTTGTGATTTGGCCCTGCTTACCTTTCCAGCCTCATGTCAACTCTGCTCTCACCATGCTGCAGCCCTCTTGAATTGGCATACCCATTCTCAGAATGCATTGTATCCTTCCATGCTTGTGTTTTTGCAGATGCTCTTTCCTCTGTCTACCATATGCTTTTCTTCATTATCATTGTAACAAACTTCAAAATTAAAATTACATTCTATCTTCTTAGAGAATCCTTATTGTCATCTCCTACTTCCCACAACCTAAGTTAAACCAAGTGCTCCCCAAGGACCTCCATCAGTCTAAAAGATTTATAATACTAAGTTTTTATTATTTCCTTACCTTTGTCCTTTCTACACGATTGTGAGCATTTTGAGGACAAGGACTGTGTTTTAATCATTGCTATTTTCCTGGTATCTAGGACAGAGCTGAGCACAGTCAATGTTTGCAAATATCTGTTGAAAGATCAAATGAATGCATTCCTGAATGAACAACTGAAAGAAGAGAAGTATGAGCTTGTGGTGAGCTCATTTTGGAGCCAAACAGTGCTGGGTTTAAATCCTGGCTCTCTTGAAGACTAGTATTGTGACCTAAGGAAAATTACTCTAAAGCCTCAATTTTCTAATCTCAAAATAGGGCAAATGGAATTTATCTCAAGACAAACCATTGTCAACTTATATTGATGAACAACAGCTATAGCTACATATAACTCAGTCCTGTCACTAAATTTCTGTGAGTTATCTTGGAATGAAAAGACAAAAAAGACAATGAAGCTGTATTCTTGCAGATTAATTTATTAACAACAACAGTAAAAATATACTCACTGAATGTCTACTGGGTAGAAGACATTATGCTAGGACCTGTGGAGAAATGAAATGTAAATTAATATTTGGCCTATGGAGAAGTTAAGGAATACAGTATAGGCTAAATTTTAAAATAAAGTAGAAAGTGTCAGATGCCATAAGAGAGGTATCAGATTTTAGATTAAGAGTTCGTTTGTAGCTGAGACAATGAGGAAGGCTTTCTGGGAGAAATGGTGTTTGAAATGAACCCTGAAGGAAAGGTCAAAAGATTTTTGCTGACAGTGGAGGAAGGAAGATGGGAATGAATGCAACCGTGAGAAGGTGGAAATACCTAGGAGAGAAATGTGGGCTCTGCCATCCTATTATTGTCGTTGTTTCACCAGATGCTGCAGTTTCATCTTCTGAAACTAAGGGTTAGTGACCTGCCTTTTTCACAAAGTACAATGTGCCCTGGTTTTCTGTCTGGAGGCATTGACACTCTGCCCAGAACAAGGCCACCTGATGCCAACAGCTAAGGCAGAAACTGGCCTGTTCACGCCGTAGCCCCTTAGAAGCAGCAGTTCTGTCACTCTGTCTCGCGATGCCCTGAAGACACTTGGCAGAGGCTCTACAGCAGGGGTGAGGAATCACATCCCTGTGAACAGGAATGTGCAACTGAAACTGGTGTGGACACTTGGGGAATGACTAACAAATCTTATCACAGATTGTCAAATTATGTTATTTAGAATCAAACTGCTTGTGAATGAGGCAGAAGATATACACACATGCTGTAAAGATGGTTTTCTCTAATGAGCAGTGGTGATGAGCTTTTTTCCATATGTTTGTTGGCTACATAAATGTCTTCTTTTGAGAAGTATCTGTTCATATCCTCCGCCCACTTTTTGATGGGGTTGTTTCCTTCTTGTAAATTTGTTTAAGTTCCTTATAGATTCTGGATATTAGATCTTTGTCAGATGGATAGATTGCAAACATTTTCTCCCATTCTGCAGGTTGCCTGTTCACTCCAAATGTTCATCAGTGACAGACTGGATTAAGAAAATGTGGCACATATACACCATAGAATACTATGCAGCCATAAAAAAGGATGAGTTCGTGTCCTTTGTAGGGACATGGATGCAGCTGGAAACCATCATTCTCAGCAAACTGTCACAAGAACAGAAAACCAAACACCGCATGTTCTCACTCATAGGTGGGAACTGAACAATGAGAACACCTGGACACAGGAAGGGGAACATCACATGCTGGGGCCTACTGTGCGGAGGGGGTGGGGGGAGGGATAGCATTAGGAGATATACCTAATGTAAATGATGAGGTAATGGGTGCAGCACACCAACATGGCACATGTATACATATGTAACAAACCTGCACGTTGTGCACATGTACCCTAGAACTTAAGGTATAATAATAATAATAAAAAAGAATATTGCTCCATAATTATTCTGACTATATTGTGATATACCTTGATTAAAAAATATGTATTAAGGTTTAAAATATCAGGATAGAAATGCTCATGGAAACTAAATAAACATGATCTGAAATGTACATGCAGCAATCCAACTACATAGAAAATTATTTTAGAAAAATGTAAGATGATGAACTAATGTTTAATAAAAGCATTAATAAAAAAGGGAGGTTACTTTTATAAAGCAGTGTATGTCTGACCAATATGGATCAATTCTACATAATTTCTCTTAAAATAAGTCATCTAATAAAGAAGTAGCTCCTTTGGTGTTTTTTCTCTCCCACTTCTGGATGGCTTCTTAGATTGGCTAATCTAAATCTTTAGCACTAAAGAAAATCCAAGCAATGCCAGACTATACTCACTTCAGAATATTTCTAGTTCTTTTTTTAAAATTAATTATTTATTTACTTTTTTTTCTTTTTTGAGATGGAGTCTCGCTCCATCACCCAGGCTGAGGTACAATGGTACAATCTTGGCTTATTGTAACTTATTTCTCCCAGGTTCAAGCAATTATCTTGCCTCAACCTCCCAAGTAGCTAGGATTACAGGTGTGTGTCACCATGCCCAGCTAAAACTATGCCTGGCTAATTTTTCTATTTTTTAGTAGAGAGGGCGTTTCACCATGTTGGCCAGCCTGGTCTTGAACTCCCGGCTTCAAGCGATTCTCCCGCCTCGGCTTCCAAAGTGTTGGGATTATAGGCATGAGCCACTGCGCCTGGCCAGATATTTCTAGTTCTTCATACCACGTTTGGCTGATCCTTTCTTGACCCTGATCCAATCTACTCAGTCATACCTTTTAATATAAAAATAGGTCTTGTAAAAGTAATAAAGTTAATTCTTTGCTTAGTTTTCCTTCTTCTCATAAAACTGGGATAATATTCAGCCCAGTAATGACCTCACAGTTTTGGATTTATGATGGAATAATACCTATATGTTTAAGTACCATGACTTGACTACAGAATATTGCTCCCTTATGAACAAGGCTGGCAATTCATATTTTGTTTTAAAATATTTAGTTATGAATATAAATGCTATATTACAGTGTTTTAAAAACAGAAGGAAAAAATAATCCTACCTCCTAAAACAAATACTTAAATAAAAAAATCTTTATTTTAATAAGCTTCACTTTATGACTAAAGGTCTTCCACGCTGACCACAAAATGAGTATTTCTAAGTCTGAACAGTAAGAAAGGGCTCAAGATAATGGCCAGCTCTTTGGGAAGCTGAATATTTTGTTTATAGGCTGTTTTGTAACATTTCCCAAGCATTACCAGCATGTTCCCAACTCAGGGATCTCCCTCCTATACTCCTCTCTCAGCTGTCAATGGTCAGGAAGAGAAATCCTAACTCTATATCCAGAGTTTCAAAATTCTACTTCCTTCTTCCTAGATGTCTAACAGAGCTACGGTACCAAATTACCTTTTATGAGCAGGTCTACCATCTTACAAATGAGGCACATTAGTCTAAAAATTCTGTAATTATAAAGCTGTAGGTACATAAAATGATGTTATTACTTTTACTAATGTAAATACTTTAAAACAAAAATTTCCAGGTCGACTCCATCTCGTGGGAACTCCTGAAACAAAAGAGAAAACCAAAATGCACTATACATAAAATATGCTCATGAAAATTTACCCTGAACACATACTTGTCGCTCCAGATCCTGAATTTTTTTGGCATCTGCTGCTTTATCTTTTAAGCGTATCTTCTGCTGAATAGATGGATTCCCAGATTCAGCTTTCAGTTTCTCAATCTGTCAATAAATAAATAACATGCTAAGAAGCATATTTAAATGTAACAGAAAAGTTCCGGGGGTGGGAGGAAGCATAATATTAGGTACTCATTCATTTATCAATTCCTCAGCAAAATTTGGGGAATTAATGCCTCAAATTCCTTGAGCTCCTCCCAAGTTCCAGGCACTTCCTAGATCTGGCAGGAGATATGGATGGCAAACGAGAGAAACTAGGTCCCTGCTCCCCGATGCTTATGCTCTAGTAGAGGGAGAGAGTTGATAAGCTAATAAATAAAGTAAATCAAAGGGAAAATGAAAAACCTTCAGAGTGGTAAAGGCTAAGAAGAAAATAAAACAGAGTGAAGGGATAGGAACAAAGAACCAGAAGTTGAGAGATTGGCAGCTACATTAGGAAAGGGAGTCAGGAAACATCTTTTCTAGAAAGTAGATATTTGAGCCAACAGGAACAAGGAGGAGGAGTGAGACACAGAAAGAACTCAGGCCAAAGTATTCCAGGCCAAGAAAACAAGTGGAATGAGTCCAGCATGTTCAAGAATCAGAGGACCTCTGATGTGGCTGGAGAAGAGTGACTCAGGGGAGTGTGGTATCCGATGACACTGAAGAGGCAGGCAGGGTTTGGACCCCATGGAGGCCTGACAGGTTGTGATAAGGAGCTTATATTTATTCTCAGTCTAATTTAAAATAGACTATATATCTAAAAGCAAACCAGCGATCTTAATTAATAGTTCAGAGTAATGATGCAATGACAAAAGGTTACATAGAACTGATATTACAGATAACAGGATGCATCTAGAGAAGAAATACATTCTGAAATGATCCATTACCTCAAGTCTGAGTTTCTCAATTTCCTCATTTGCTTCTCTAAGCCGAAGTGCATCTTTATCCAGAAGTTCCTGATTTTCAGCATACCACTGTAATCTTTTTTGCAGACGACTGATTTCTTGTTTATGTGTTTCTTCTAAAATTTTTATTTCATATAATTTTTCACCTATAAGATAAAATAACTCAATAACCTGCTTGTTGTTCTCCAAAATATGGAAATAAACTAAATTAAAAGATTTTAAATGAAAACCAATGCCCATCTAATGACAGCATTATGAAAAAATAAGATGCATAAAACAAGTAATGTATACAACATAGTATCTAGCTTAATCTATTAACCAAAAGAAATAAGAGACTGTTTATAATCCAAATCGTCAACCTTACAGCAAAGTGAAAATTTTTGATAAATTATTTTCCACTGACCTTTTTAAAATTATAAAAGTAAAGTTGTTTCCATGGGAAAATAAATGTTGGATTTAAGAAATACTAAAAATGAAGAATGTCTATAATTATACTAAAAAGTAACAGGACAAACATTCAGGAGTACTTATTACCATTTATTATGTTATTTACTACAATAAACTTTTACAATGGATAATACCATTACTGTTATTACTCTATATTTTACAGATAAGGGAAGCAAATGTCATTTTCTTACAAACAGGTCAGAATGGATTTCTCTGCACATATCTAACACTGAAGTTCGTAATACTGCAGAGGAAAGATCCTATCTTTTGCAAACAAGGGCTCCTCTGATCTAAGTTTCTATCCCTGTGTTCTGCCACTCTAAGTTATGGAATATACTTGTGCAGCCTCTTTCCATCCCTTCACTTTCAAATTTTACTACCTGTCAAGGCCCAGCTCAAATGCCACTCTGCCCCAGAACCCTCATTTGGCATCCCAATTCCTATCATGTTTGTTTGTAACTTTTTCTTATATTATGCGTATTCTTATCTTACTCCCCTTGGTTTTCGTAATGTAGTAGGCACCATGCCACATTCATCTATGTGTTCTTTATAAAACCCAGTGCGCTATTATTTATTCACTTGGCAAATACTTAACAGCCTACAAAGTTCCAGACCCAGGGAAAAGAAGACAGGCCTTGCCCTCAGGAAGGTCACAGTCTAGCTAGGATGACAGATTTGTGAACAACCAAACATACATGCCATGAATCCAAAACAATTCTTGATTTTCTCTTGTCTTGCAATTATGCCTACTAAACCCAATCAAATTCACACATCTTTTAATAATGAATTTTAAAAAATGTTTCTAAAATTACAATATACTTTAAGGAGTAGCATTTTGATTATACCATTCAATCAACATTAGAACAGTTATGATTATAAAGGTACACAGTTTCAGCTCAGTGTTTTACCTGTGACATAAGCAATCTGATCTTTGGCTTGGTCCCTCTCTTTCTTCATTTTTTCCAAGTCTACTTCAAGAGCTTGTTTGTCTTGTTTCAGTCTTTTGATGTCTTCCAATAAACTGTCTTTTTCTTTCTTGATATTCAAAGAAATATAAAAGCAAGTATTTTACAACCACAATAAATTGTGGTATAGTCTTTCACACAATCCATCATGAACATTGTTGCAAAATATTTTCTCTAAATTTTAGCTCTGATGTTGTTACCACCTGCCCTACCCCAGAATTTTTAATGGCGTGCAATAGCCTATTAAAATCAGTTCTAATCATCTCAACACAGCATTAAAGACCTTTCAATCTACTGTTCTAACTTCTTCCATATACTAACCATATTGATGACCCACTAATTCTCTTGCTTGGATTACTGTAATAAGCTCTTAATTAGTATGCCTCTTCTACCTCTGGCCCCTACAGTCTATTCTCACAGCAACCACACGAATTGTTGAACAGTCAGTTAATGTCATTCTCCATCAAAAACTCTCTGTTGGCCAGGCGTGGTGGTTCAACACCTGTAATCCCAGCACTTTGGGAGGCCAAAGTGGGCGGATCACTTGAGGTCAGGAGTTCGAGACCAGTCTGGCCAACATGGTGAGACCACGTCTCTACTAAAAATACAAAATTAGCCAGGCATGGTGGTGCCCGCCACTATGACAAATGGGATCTAATTAACCTAAAGAGCTTTTGCTTAGCAAAAGAAACTATCATCAGAGGGAATAGGCAACCTACAGAATGGGAGAAAATTTTTGCAATGTATCCATCTGACAAAGGACTAATATCCAGAATCTACAAGGAACTTAAACTAATTTACAAGAAAAAAAAAAAAAAACCCAAAAAACATCAAAGGGTGGGTGAAGGATATAGACAGACTCTTCTCAAAAGACATTAATGCGGCCAACAAACATGAAAAAAAGCTCATCATTACTGGTCATTAGAGAAATGCAAATCAAAACCACAATGATATACCATCTCAAGCCATTAGAATGATGATCATTAAAAAGTCAGGAAACAACAGATGCTGGCAAGGATGTGGAGAAACAGGAATGCTTTTACACTGTTAGTGGGAGTGTAAATTAGTTTGACCATTGTAGAAGACAGTGTGGCGATTCCTCAAGGATCTAGAACTAGAAATACAATTTGACTCAGCAATTCCATTACTAGGTATATACCCAAAGGATTATAAATCATTCTACTATAAAGACATGCACACATATGTTAACTGCAGCACTATTTACAATAGCAAAGACTTGGAACCAACCCAAATGCCCAATAATGATAGACTGGATAAAGAAAATGTGGCACATATATACCATGGAATACTATGCAGCCATAAAAAAGAATGAGTTCATGTCCTTTGCAGGGACATGGATGAAGCTGAAAACCGTAATTCTCAGCAAACTAAGACAGGAAGAGAAAACCAAACACCGCATATTCTCACTCATAAGTGGGAGTTGAACAATGACAACACCTGGACACAGGGAGGGGAACATCATACAAGGGTGCCTGTTGGGGGATGGGGGGCAAGGGGAGGAGAGAATTAGGACAAATACCTAATGCAAGTAGGGCTTAAAACCTAGATAGGTTGATAGGTGCAGCGAACCACCATGGCACATGTATTCCTATGTAACAAACCTGCACATTCAGCACATGTATCCCAGAACTTAAAGTAAAATAAAAACAAACAAAACCAGAAAACTCTCTGCTGGCCCCTTGCAGGGTTAACCCAAAGTCCTTACCATGACCTTTAGTGTCATATAACCCAGCTTTACCCATGACTGATCACCTCTTCTATACATCCCCGCCCATTCCATTCTAGCCAGAGACCTCCTTGCTGTTTTTTGAACACTCCTACCTCAAAGGGTCTGCAGTGTCTCTTCTGCTTGTAGTGGTTTGGGACCCAGATAGCCAGGTAGTTTCCTCCTTCACTCCATCAGGATTTCTGCTCACATGAAGCCTCAGAAGGCCTTCCTGTCCACCCTATCTAAAATAGCAAGCCCCATCCTGGCCCCCAGGCACACAGTTTCATTTTTTTCTCACAGCACTCATCACCACCTGACATATAAAACGTAGGATTTTATTTTGCCAAACTTTGTATCATAAATGCATAAAAAATGCTTGGGACATCAAAAAATAAAAATGAAATTCTCAATATGGACTACATTCCATACCACTCTCAGTAGTTCAAAGTGTTGTGCCCCATTCCTCTGCTTGACAAAAATCACACTTATCTTTCAAACCTCACTTCAAATTAAGCTAAGCTATTCCTGATAGTACCCTCTTCTGCCTCCCACAACTTCAGTTGTACCTCTAGCATGGCATTTATTACTGTTTCCTATGACACTGATTCATTTATATGTAACCTCTTCTCTTTATTAGGCTGAAGGCTCTATGGGGACCAAGCTGATTTAGTACTACTTGTTTACTTTATGGTACTAAGTGCATGGCATGTATTAGATAAATGTAGACTAAACTGAACTTACGAAACTACTGGACTCAACAGCAGTCAACTCGGTATTTAAGTTTCAAAATGACAAGTTCTTACAAACTCTGGTTTACACTCTTACAATTTAAAAATCAGTCTTAGAAAGAAAATAAGAGCATTTGTAAAGCATTGTATAATCTTAGTTCCTAGTTGCATCGCAGATTTAACTGCATCGTTTGTTTAATCTTCTGTAGATGTCCTTTCAGGAGAGCCCTGAAACTAAAATTAATCTAAAAGCTGCTGAATGCTTTTTCTGCAAAAACCTGTTGCTTAATTAGTTCAATCAATTTAGAAATGTTCTCTATCAATGTCTACTTTATGGAATTACAGTATTTTACAATTCAAAGAACTATAAACATCTGAAGTTTAATCATGCTCAATCAATGGATGTCCACTCCAGGCTTGCATATTTCAGGGAGAGAAAATGCCCACCTTCAAGAAAGTGAGTATGCCCCATGTTAAATCTGTGGGCCAGAGGCTTTTGGCTGACAAGTACTTTTCCTCTCTCATAATTCACCGTGCAGACACTGAGAGAGGCCTCTGCCACTCCTGTCTTTATCCACTTATGCTTCAAAGGCCTCTAGCTCCTGGTAAGGAACAAACTCAGGGCTTTTGCATTTGCTCCTCCCTCTGGCTTGAAGTCTGAATCTGCCTGGTTGGCAGTTCCTCTTCTTCAGCTCTCAACTCAAACATCTCTTTCTCAGAGAGAGCTTTCCTGTCCACACTATTAAATGCCGCCTTACCTCTAACTCATCACCCATTATTCTCTATTTTCATTTTCTTCAAAGCACTTCTATCTGTAATTATTTATTTGTGTATCTGCTGTCTGTCTTCTTCACTAGAACATATGTTCCTGATGAGCAAGATCTGTGTCTGTCTTATTTACCTACTATATTCTCAATGCTTGGATGAATGCCTGGTGCATGGCAGTCGTTCAATAAAGGCTGTCTGAATAAATGAGTTGTAGTCAGCCCCATTCTCTTCCCAATCCTGGAATACTAAAAGGAAAGGGCTCAGGAACTTACCTTTTATTACATTTCCACCTATACTTTATAACCAACTGACATTTTAAGAATATACTAATTGGCACTAATTTTTAAGGTATAAAGTAGACTATACACAAATATACTTGACAAGATTATTTTGTAGATTTATCCCAGTATAAATAATTTTTACTCTAAAACTATTTAATACTAACGTAAATCAAAATAAAGGTATGTTTACATTCTATCTTATAGTATGTGCACAAAAAAATTCCCAAATAATTTTTACTGTTATTTTAAACTAAACTAACACCTTTTTTTTTTTTTTTTCCTGATTTCTTTTAGGCTTCCCCTGACTTTGGTAGCTTTACCATGATGGGACTAAATGTGGATTTTTACTCATTTATGTTGAGTGGGACTTATTGTGCTTCCTAAATTTGAGACTTCACCTTTTACCACTTCTAGAGAATCCTCAGCCATTACCTATTAAAACATTTAAATGTGCATTAGGGCATCTCATATTTCTTAATATTTCTGATATTTTACATTTCTCTATTTTTCTGTTTCACTCTAAGTTCCCTTAAATTGGTCTTTCAGTTTAATGCTTTTCTTAGTTGTTTATGATCATCTATTTAATTCTACTTTCTTAATTTCTGGCATCTTTCATTCCCACAGCTCTGTTTAATGTTCGTTTGAATTTGCCTGGCCTGTTTTGTTCTTTTGTCATATTTTCTCAATTATTTTGTATATTTAAGCACTTTAAGTCTATTTATTTTATTGCCTCTATTCAATCATTCTATTGGGGTTCTGATCTTGCTGTAAAGCATCTCATGCCTGCAGATGGTGGGCTGTTTCTCTAGGTTTTGTAATTTTGCATTGTGAGCACATCATCAGTTGGATTTTATCTGTGGGAATATTGTGTGGACTGGGTTAAAGAGTGTATACCTCTAAGAATTGTTTTGCATTTGTTTCTTCTAAATCTACTAGAGGTTATCACTGACTTAGAACTACTGTTTATGTTTTTTTTTAGTTTAAGCATTGCAAGGTAGTGTCAATTCAAATACTAAACACAAATGGGCAGAAGAGATACCATTTATATTGAACAACCATTAAAGTATGTGCAGAGGAGACTTTTTACCTCTCCCTACCCAGAGACCAAATTAAGACAGAAAAGCTTCCTTGACATCTCAGTTTCTTTTTTCCTAATCCACTATTTTAGTGAAAGATGTGGTCCTTTAAGGGTATCCCATCTACAATTTGCTGTTAAAGCTCAGGCTTCTTGGTTACTAAACTTACTGCCATCTTTTTATCCCTCCTTACTTTTGGCTTCTAATGATTTCCCTTACTTTCTTGAGAGCATGGTTAATCATTTACAAGATATTTATTATATTTTTTTCCAGTATATTTTGGTGTTGTTAGTGGGAGTTTTCAAATTTTCTGTCATTAAAATATGTTCAAAACAGGACTTTTAAAAGGTAAAAACAACAGCCTTTGGAACTAATGCTAACGCTATGCTTGAAACCTTACTTTGTTCCCCTAAGCCTTCATAAAATATGGTAACATTAATTGCTGTTTTAGCTTGCTATTTTTGAGACCCACTGAAATGGGCTTTTTAGTTTAGTGCTATGATTCTCAAAGGGAGCGGTGCGAAGAAGTAACTGTCCTCCACAGGCCATGTTTGGAAATGTGGCAGAGTGATTTTAATTGTTACAATGACTGGTGGGTGCTATAAGCACATAGTTCTTAGGGACAGGGATGATAAAAATCATGCAGTGCATGAATTACTTCTGCTTAAAATAGAGTTCTGCCCTGCCTTAAATTCCCAAACTCTTCCTATTGATAAATACTGCTTTAGAAAACTCTAGGCCATATTTTTAATAGTACAATTTAATAAACATAAAAAAGTTATGGAACAGCATTGCATTTCAACTTTATGTTAGGTATGCGGGATATAAATACTTGTAAGATACAGTCTCTGCTCTCTAGAAGTGCACAGTCTACTTCGGAAGACAGGCAGCAAGCTACTAACTTTTAAAGGTAAACAATTATCTCCAAATTACACTATTTAGGCTGCACACTTTCAAATAAGGAATTGGTTTGAAATAAGGTATACATGTCCTAAATAAAATCATGCCTCTGATAATGGCTCCATGATAAACAGGCCTGATGAGCTGTGACAAATGCCTGATTAGAGGCTGAATCATAAAGACAATGACATCTAAAACCAGTATTATAGTATTTCCTCTATACTAAGGTCACGCATATACTATACGCTAATTTAAGATATTTCTCCCTAAGTTTTAAATGGTATGAAATTTACAGATTTTTTCATACATATGGGGATTTTTACAGAAACCTTTATTATCCCTAATAGTCAAAATCCTTATGCAACTTACCTGTGCCATCCGTAGTTCTGCTAACAGATCTGTAAAATTCTGGTTTCTTGTGGGCTCTGAATCTTCAACTACTTGAGACAGAAAACGACTTTTGTGCATCTGTTCTCTGATTTATTTTGAAAATAAAAAGTTGTTTTTCTTTCTTACCAGGTGCTCCTTTCAGTAGAAAATATTCAATTCTTAAAAATTAAAAACTAACATACATTGATGCTATATGCATAAATGAAGGTAAAATTTTCATTTAATCTAAAGATTAAAATACTACCACACTAAAAGAGAAATATACTTTAAGGGAAATGCTTATATTTATTCTAAAAGAACTGAAACCTAAGATTATTGGTTTATTTATAATATAAAAATATTAATTCCCAATTCTCAAAGGAAAAAAATTAATGGTCCACAAAGATGCGCTGCATTTTTCTGTGGGGTTGTTAATGCACTCACTCCTTGGCATATTGTTCTAGAATCTTTTCTGAGAGTCGCCAGTCTCATACATGGAAACTAACAAACAAAACAAAACACATCCTAATATGTGGACCTTAAATTCAATTTTCCTGTTATTCCAGAGATATTACAGAAGGAGTTTTGGATTCCACATAAGATCATCTAACCCTAATGTACTAAAGAAACCATTTATTTCATTCTGAAAGTTAATTTAGAGCTTCAGTTTTGGATCCTGGGATAGATCTTCTTTTAGAAGCCAAGTAGTACAAGATAAGATATTTTAAAATAACTTTACTGAAACATCTGGGAAAAAAAGCTTAAGTAAATGCATTCATGCATTACCACTGTGCAGATTATCACACATGGCCTGGGGTTACACTTACCAACTTACCAGGAGAAAGTGGCAATAAATATATATATTTTGTCTGCTACCAAGTGTGCCTTTTTCTATTTTGCGTGAAAGATCAGTATGAGCTATTATTAGCAGCCCTGCCTCTTAGGCCCTAGTTTATATAACCAAAAAAGGGGGAGAAGTATATAAATAAATTTGGTAAACATTCATGATATTCATGGGTCAAAGAAACTTTTGATAACAGTCCTTTCTGAGTGATTAGGTGTTTATATAAAAGGACACACAAATAGTGGTCATTTTCTAAAAGAAGAGAGTATCCTAGCTTGTCCATGTTCATGGGCTTGGCTTTTTCACTTAATATGTTAAAATTGGAAGCAGTAACGTCCAAAAGACCTTACAGTCTGAAATATGATTCCTAAGTAGGTGCTGGTGCCCCATTACCCTGCCATGATAAATGCTGGCTGAAAACAACTTGCAGGTGCTCCTTTAAACAGCAGCCCCTGCCCCCTGACATAAAGGGCAGCCCCCACTCCTTTCCACGGTACACTCCAGCCAGTGACTAAGGCTGCCCCCTTGCCTCAAGCAGGGACCAACTCTGGTACAATCTATTCTCCACAGCTTCTTGGTGGGAGGAGAATGAAGCCAGTCTCCAGCTGAGACCACTATTTGCCCTCCCCCACCTCACCGTTCCGCTTCCCTTGCTCCTTTCTCCTGAGAGTTATCCTTCAGTATATCATCTCCACAAGGACCTGCACCATCTCAGGCTCTGCTTCTATGGAACCTGACCCAAGAAGATCATAAGTGATACTGGATGACCTTTCTTTTTTAGTATTATTAATCACATGGTTCCTCGGGAAACGGTTATCTCATTCTTAATGACTGATCAAGAGGAATACTGTATATTCAATTTCCTGAAACTGATGTTTGAATCATTTATGAACATAAATTCATATGAATTCAAATATGAATATGCTGAAAATACTATCAAGTATGTGCTAGCCATCTAACACCAAAAGAAAAATCCACTGAGTATTAAACATATAAACTGGAAACGAGAATACAAATACAAATAAAAATTTACCATCTAAGTAAAAATAAATGTATTATTAACATAATAAGAAAATGCTTAGAAATAGTTTAAGTATATTTGATTTTAAGAAGTTCAAAAGGACTTACTTTAAGGAAGCTACTTCACTGAATAAACTCTGGTTTTCCTTAAACATTCGCTCCTCATTTTTCTTGTTTTGTTCTTGGAGATCTTTTACTTGATTATATAATCGTTCATTTTCCTTTTTAAAAACAGAATATTGCATTTTAGTTAAAAGTCATTAGTACTTATATAACATAATATACGTGCTCATAATAGATTAATCCTTTAAACGGTCTTTTAAGTTGCTTTAGTTTTTGCATAGTAAAATCTTTTTTAAACTTTTTATATTATAACAGAAGAAATTTGCTGTCTAAAAACAGTTCTTTCCATAATGTTTAAAACGCCTCATTGAAAAACTAATTTGCCAAAATTCCCACAGCTAAAGGGCCTAAGGTCAGTTGAATGCACTGCATTTCACAGGAGTTAAGTGGGAGAGTGGCTGAAGGAATCACCACATCCTGACTATGTGGACCCAGGTGGAAAGACCCAGTGAGACCCTTTATGTTCTTTTCTGTTTCTGACCCCAGAGACAGAGAGAAAAAAAAAAATCGAATCACTGCTGGACGAAGATTCTGGAAGTCTGGCTGCCAGTGGTGAGATAATCAGATGTATCTATGGGTGTTCATGCTTGTATCTGATATTGACCATAAACAGGGAGTTAAAGACCAGTGTTTCAGAAAGTTGTCAGGACAAGGCAGAGCAGAGGACAGATCCAGTTCACCAAAAGGCTTGAGCTAAAGAGCTGAAGAGTGACTGAACCAGTTGAGATCAGAGGGAGAAGAAAATGTACCAATCTGCACTTTGATGCCCTCCCTGGCTTATTAACCTGTTTAAAATTAAAAATCAGATGCAAACCAAGGGCTTTTGAGTATCTAATGCAAACTGTAGACTGTTATACCATGTCTGGAATAGTGCTGGGCAGACAGTCTGTGCTTAAATACATGCAGAATTAATGAACATCCCCCTCTACTATTTAGACACATAAATTTTGTGTTGTCTCTGTTGGATGGGTTAGTTGGCATACTTATGGGTCTGTTAAATTTTCTTAAAAACCTCTGTTTTTTAATGGCAAGATCAAACTGGCAGAAGAATTTGAATGGTTCCCAGTAACCAAGGGCAGTGTGTCCTGCCAATTCATTCCAATTCGGCTACAGCAAACATTGTAATCACTGATGTGGCAATGCTTTCGATGATGTCCCTGGGTGATAATGCATGTTACTAAGGCTCAAGGTTCAAGTTACAGTTGTCAAAAGAGAAGAATGTAATGAGCGACAAGAAAGGGGAGCAGTAAGAAAAAAGGGAGCGAGAGGCAGGGAACAAAGATGCTGAAGAAAGATGCTAAACCTGTCCTGGTTGACTGTTAGGCTAGCAACACCAAGATGTCATCACACATTGCAAACATCTGCCTCTGTAGGACCCACAGATCTTCTTACATTAAATTCAAAATTTTTCACCCTCAGGACATTATCAATTAATTCCAGATTCATATTTCTGAAAATAATAGCAAAATCAGCCAATATTGTCTACTGAAGAGCATTACAGGAAACTAAGAAAACATAGGGCAGTTTTTAAGAAACTGGCTATTAAAAATACTAACAGGTAACTTTCATTGATTGATTGCTGTGTGCCACACTAAGAGTGTACAGATGCTCCTCAACTTGCTTGCCCCACAAATGGCTATATCCCAATAAGCCCAAAAGTAAGTAAAAAATGTCCTAAGTTGAAAATGTACTTAATACCCTGATAAACCCACTGTAAAGTCAAAAAATAGTAAAACTTATGATGAGGTTACATCCTGATAAGCCCATCATAAAAGTTAAAACTTTGTTAAGTCAAACCACTGGAAGTTGGGGATCCTATATATTATCATCTCCACTTCACAGATGAAGAAACTAAATTAGAAAGATTAAGTGATGCCCAAGGCACACAGCAGGTGGTAGAGCTAAGACTCAAAACCAGTATTTTCCAATCCAGAACCCACGCTCTTAGCATTTAATTCTCCTCATGGGAAATACATAGACTAGTCAAATTATTACCTCCTATTTGCCAGAATTCCCATTATCTGTTAAATAAGCACAGAAATATTTCAATATGCCTTTTTTTTTTTTTTTTTTTTTTTTTTTTTGAGATGGAGTCTCACTCTGTTGCCTAGGCCGGAGTACAGTGACGTGATCTCGGCTCACTGCAACCTCTGCCTCCTAGGTTTAAGTGATTCTCCTGCCTTAACCTCCCAAGTAGCTGGGATGACAGGTGTGCACCACCATGCCTAACTGATTTTTTTAAAATTTTTAGTTGAGATGGGGTTTCACCATGTTGGCCAGGCTGGTAAACTCCTGACCTCAGGTGATCTGCCCGCCTCATCCTCCCAAAGTGCTGGGATTACAGGCATAAGCCACTGTGCATGACCTGCCTTATTTTAATAACTAAAAGATGAAGAAGAGTAAATTTGCCATATGCTAAAGGATGGCCATACCTGTTGATATCCTTGAAGAAGTGTCTCTTGTTCTTGTATTTCCTTTTGGATTTGCTTCAATTTTTCTCCAGTGACAGGATCAGCTGCTTCTCCAAAATGTAACCACCTTGTTTTTTTGTTTGTTTCTTCAAAGCTGCTTAACTTTGAGAAATTGCAGCAATTGTTTTATTTGGGGAAGGAAATGATAAGGTGAGAAGTGAGAAAGAATAATAGAAAACTCCTATTTAGATTGAAAACTGTTTTATAATATTGAACACACTGGAATGTGACATAACTACAGTTAAATCAGCAAAGTGCTGTTTTTGTGCTGATGGTGCCGTTAATAACTCACAAATGCTACACAATGTCATCCTCTGGGTCTATACCTTCTTTGGCAGTTTTGCTCAAACTTTGATTTCTTTGAAGGTCAGAATGAACTGATTCTCTTTAAAAAGGACAGCTAATAGAAGAAAACCATCAAAATGAGCCAATTTAAATTTAATTTTCTCCCCCAAGGGTTCAAAATTTAGGCTCTCATGTACGGAATCACTCTTCGAACCATGTCTACATTTTATACAGCAAATACATCAAGTCAAACATCTCTAGGAAACAAGGATGACAATGTATTTAGCAGGGAACATAGGTTTTTTTAAAAAAATAAATATTAAAAAAACCAGAACAATGTGTCTAGTACCTTGGCTTGAAGAATATAATTATCTTGATTCAATTTGAAGAGTTCTTTTTCCTGTTGTTTCTTTAGTTCTTCCAACTTATTTTCTAGTTCTTTCTCTTTTTCTGAGAATGTGGCTTTAATTTGCTCAATTAGGGCTTGTGCACCCCTCCATTTTTCCTCTGCTTCCTGAACTCTTTTAAACATAAGTAATTCCTCCTCCTTGTTCTCACAACAGTATCCTAAGGAATCCTTTCAAGAAAAGCATTACTTCATTACAGCACACTTATATATAGGATTTGAACACAGGCCGTTAATTAAAAAAAGAATAAAAAGGACATGGTTAACAATGTTCTATTATATAAGAAAATTAACTGTTTAGTAAGAGTGATTACAGTATCACTCGAAGGAAAAGACATTTCAGTCCTTATTATATTTTGTTAAATATAATTTAGCTTTAATGTAATTTTAGAACATAAAAACATTATGATTATTAATTTTGAATTTAATACCTACAGTCTGAAACTGAATACAGGAATCAGTTTCTGTGGGATCTTCAGACTTCTTAGGAGTAACCAGGCAACTTTCAGTTTTGGGAGCTGGTTTATCCAAAGCTGCAGGCTTGATGAGTTTTGTTCCAGATAAGATTTCTAAATATTATAAGCAATGTATAAATGCACCACAAATGTAAAGTTAAATGTGTACTCATCAATTGTGTACAATAACTAAAAATACAATGGAAACACTAAAATGAGGATCTCAAAATAGGCTGATGGACTACACTATAACACAGCTGTTTCACTATAACTGATTGTATTCAGAAAAATTGCCACTCCGTAATCAACGTTCTACTAAATTTGACACAGATGGCCAATTAACCCAAGACTATGTCAACTGACAAATGGAGCTAAATAAATGTGAGAATGTAGATAGAAATAACTTTCAGAGTTTATTACTTTTAAATAAATTCTTCTGTTAAATGTTCATAGCAATAATCAATCAGAATTTCTAAATGACCAAGGAGCAGCTGATAACTTTATGAAACATTTTGGTGCAGATTAAGTGTGCTTTCGGAGCACATTTTTTATAAACAACATATATCATGATATCGTATCAATGGAATAATATAAATTGCAAGGAGGATTTTATAACTGTTAATTTAAATAGGATTTTAAAAGATTAACACTATTATAAAAACCTGGCTCACTCGCTCTCTCTATATATATATAAAATTAGAAAAAAATGTGATTAATATATATTCTGTTCCAATTTTCAGCTTTTAAGGTAACCTGTAAATTCTTAAACAAGAAATCATTCTAAGGCTAATATATTATTCAGTTAATAATAAACAATGTTTAAGAACAATACCTAGAAGGGATCCTAAGATCCATATTCAACTACTACAGGCCCTGAGTTTAATAAACACTATCTGATTGCTTTAGAGATAAATTAAGAACTTCAAAATTTAAATTTTTAAAATAATTTATTAAAGATGCTAACTTTTTAAATGTAGAGTTTACTTTTTAATTACAAATGTTCTACATGATTATTAAATATTTGGAAAATATAGAATAGTCAAAAGAAAAAATAAATTACCAACAGTCCCTCACCAAAAGATTTCATTTCAATTATTTTTCCAGGTATGTGAAGGTTTTCCTTATAGAGTTATGATCACATTTAATTAGGCTGATGTAAGTTTTCTGAAGAAATTTCTAAAAGTGTTCATGAAGAGACTGTTTTGAGTCATTGTAAGAGGAGGCTTTTAAAACTTCCAAATCACTGGAGGCTCATTAAATGAATGGGGTGTGATCTGCTAGCACGATTCTCCTCAGGACAAGGCAGCTAGTACAGGTGGAATGTTCCAGACCAGAAAATCCAAAATCCAAACTGCTCTAAAATCTGAAATTTTTTGAGTGTCAACATGATGCTCATAGAAAAATGCTTACAGGAACGTTTAAGATTTTGGATTTTTAGATTGGAGATGCTTAACTAGTAAATATAATGCAAATATTCCAAAATCAAATGAAATCTGAAATTTGAAACACTTCTGGTCCCAGGCATTTTGGATACGTAATACTCAACCTATCACATGTTCTTGTTCATAGCTGTAGTCTGCCAGTCCTTTTATGCCAGAATTCTCCCTTCTTGAATTCTTAATTTTGACTTCTCTTTCAGTGGACTAAAGTATCAAATAATTATTTTAAATAATTGCACGTGAGCAGTACTTGCTCCTTTTACACATGAAAAAAATTTGCTTGAATATGAAATTTAAACATGAAAACACTGAGGAATTTGGAACCCATGAAACCTTCTTGGAATAGCAATGCATAAGAAAATTCAGTCAAAAAAGAAACCAATCAAAATAATTCCAGAATAGAGAAACTATGGCTAAGAGACAAGAGAAAAGCATTCAGTCTCTTTAATAATCAGAACCAAGAATTAAATTCAAAAGCTGAGGGAAATTAAGGTTGTAGTAGAGAATATACTAAATATATCTTAAGTAAAAATAAAAATGAATAGGAGGTATGTAAGTTGGTGATACAATATGCTTTATATTTCACAGAAGGGAAGGAATCGATTGGTAATGTCTAAAATTGAAAAAGTTAAGAAACAACACTACAGTTATGACAACCTTTGAGTGTTTTTCATAATCTCTTTCCTTAAAGATTTTTCATAATCTTTTCCTTGTATTTTCGATATACAATTTCTTGGGATGAAATTTATTTTTCTTCTTATAGATATAAGTAAACCTAGATCTAATATCCTATTTTAAAAGAACATGTAAAGTGTAATCCCATTCTTACAAAATATTTTGTCCATTTATCCACATCTGCCTCTCTCTTTCCATCCATTCATTCACACTTCCTTCTATTATGTAAGTATATACATAGTGAGATGCATGGAATCTGCTAACCCACCATAACAACAGTTGTTTCTGGCTATATCATTGCTTTCTTCGTTTACTTTTCTGTAATTTTGAATTTTAAACAATAAGCATATACTAGGAATTTTTAATTCTTAGTAAGAAAAGACAATAAGAATTTTTGTCCTTTCACGAAAAAAAAAAATTAATCTAAAAATAAAAACACAAGTTACAGCCAAAGAAAATTAATCAAAACTAAACACGGAAAACAACTACATGGCTGGTACTGCTAACTGCCAACCTTCTCTTCCTTCCTATTAATAAAGATCTAATTCTGTCCTGAGCAGCAATGTACATAGTTAAACATACTCGACCCCCTGAACTCCATGCAACTGAGGGCCAGAAGATCAAAGGTCATTAAGATGGATGCAAAAACTTTCCTGATTAGGAAGTTGATGATTTGACTGGCATCTACCTTTTACCTTTCACCCTGTCTCATGGACAGGGTCCAGAGGCGGAGTGGCCATTGTGACAGTTAAGACAAAAGTCACATACTAGGGATTTTGCATCAGGAAAGAAAAAGGGATCTGGTTCCCCGCACAGCTTACCAGCCATGAACTACCTATCTCTGGACTCTTTGTTACATAAAAAAGATACCTTTAATTTGGTTAAGTTCTAGTAGCTGGGCTTTTTCTTCATCCTAACCAATGTTGACTTTAATTTTAACTGCATTCTGTATATTTTCTGAACACTAATCTCATCTCAAACTCTGCTTCCTGGAGAACTCAACCTTTAACAAGTAACCACTATCCCAAAGGAATTACAGTTCCTCTGAATATAACTAAAACTGCTCTGGGAAATTCTTCAATAAAAAACAGAGATTAAAAACAACATACTTAATAGACAGTCTAGTGAGAAAAAGTAGTTCAGTATAAAAATATTTATGGTCCATCATTATACTTTACTATAAATTTACTATAAATTTTAATGTGTTTTATTTTTATTTTGGATGTCACAAATGCTATGAAATTTTAAAATATGAAAAATGAGTTTAAGAATATTATTTCACTTTACTCATAAAAATATTAGTCTTCATCTAGCAACCTCCTCATGATTCCTCTCATTTCTTTTTCACTCACTGTGACATTACCTCTGTCTTCATTCTTGGTAATTTCAACATATTCACAGGTGATCCTTTCAACTCCCTGGCTTTTGGTTCCTTGAACTTCTTTCCATCTCAGCTACTCATTCCCATTGGCATAGTTTAGGTCTTTCCTAGACTATTATCAATAATGTAACCACTCCCCAATCTCAGTCCCTCATCTAATCACCTACTATGACTATCATCTCTGTCTTCCCTCCTCACACTCTCTGGTACCCAGATTCCAACAATCCTTTGACCCCATTACGACTCACAGTTGATGGATCGTACCTGTTGCACATTGTGTCACACTCCCTTGATGCCCTTTCTTCCTTCATTGCTCAACTTAAATTCCATGGTCAACCATTCTAATCACTTTTACATACATCATCAGCTTCACTTGCCAAAAATGTATTTTTTGGTAAACCCAACTGTTTTACCAAGTACAGTTCATTTAACAGTTGGTTAAACAAGTTGGTTATTTAACGTGTTAAATAACAACTTAATTGTTATTTCAATTTAAATTCATGATCACTAACTTTAATTAGACTGTCTTGATTCCTGACAGTCTAACTCTCCTAGATGGCTACTTCATATCTTCTCTTTTCTCTTGTAACCTCTCAAACACCTTTGCCTAACCCTCATGCTCATCTAATGATACTTTCTATTTCTCAGAGAAAACTGGAGCTATCACAAAAAGCATTCTCTCCTCAGCACATCTAACCACCTGCCAGCATACACTCTCCCTTCCTATCTGCCTCCACAGTTCCTAGAATGCAGGAAATAGCCATGTTACTGTCTAATGCCAACCCTTCTTCCACTGTGCACCAGATCCCATTACAGCTACTCTACTCAAAAACATTGCTCCAGCAATTCTTCCCTCACTCTTGTACTTTGTCAATTATTTTTCTATCAAATCTTTCTTAACATCATACAAAAAAACCAATCATTTATTTCATAAAAACAAAGCAAAGCAAAAATGTTCTTGGTTTCATCTTCCATCTCAGCTACTGGCCCATTATTTTGCTGCCTTTTATAGCAACTATCTGCAGTGTGGTCTACAACTTGAAGCACCATTCCACTCCTATTTCCGCTTACTCCATTTAATTTGCCTTTTACAGCCACCTCTCCACGGAAACTGCTTGTACACTTTATTGATCACCTCCTCCTTGCTAAACCCAAAGAGCAGTTCTCAGTTCTCACCTGTCTTAATCGCTCAGCAGTAAATGACAGAGCAGTCCTTCTCAACACACTTTCTTCACTTGCTTGTTTTCAGGATTCCACATGCTCTCAGGATTCTTCTAACCTAACTCTGTTTCCTTTGCAGGTTCCTCCTCTTCTGCCTGATTTCTTCAGGTTAGCAAGACCAGGGGCCTCAGGCCTTGGCTTGCTCCTTTCCCTCTATCTATGCTCACTCTTTTGGTATTGTCAATCAGATTTCAACAACTCCCAAATGGTATCTATAATCCATATTTCCCTCCTGAACTCGACTTTTATATCTGTCTGCCTTCTTGTCACTTCTGCTTGCATGTTGAATAGACATCTCAAAACTATCATCTCAAAAATTAAACTCCCAGTTTTTCCCCAACTCTCAAATCTACTCAGTCACAGCCTTCCCCATTCCAGTTGAGTGTAACTCCATTCTCCCAGTTGCTCAAGCCAAAAATCTTAGCAATCCAAAACCAATTTTTCAGATTTTTGGTTCTACCTCCTAAATATATCCTTATCTAACCACTTTTCATCACCTCTACTGCCACCACACTGAGTCAAGCCCTGCTGCCTCCTGTAAATTGCATCTTACAAATAGAACGTGGTACCTTAAGATTAATTCTCCTCCATGGAAGCAAAGAAAGTAAAACAATATACTAAATAAAGAGTACATGATTACCTTTTCTCCTAGGTTGATTAGAGGTGGAAATCGATCTCAAGTTTTTGCTTTTTATAATGTCCCCTGAAGTTTTATTTTCAAGAGTAGAAAACATCTTGAGTGGTGAACTGGGTTTGCCATAGCCTGAGCTCCTAACTGATGCATATAATCCACGATGGGGTTTCCTTTTAAGTAAAGGAGGTGCACTTCTGGCCTTCTTGTATGGTACCTGTTTACCCATTACAGCCCCTTCTTCTTCAGAGCTAAGTTGAGATCTGTAAGTCTGTACACAACAAGCAAAAGCTCTTCAGTACCTAAATAAACTTTAACTATTGTTGTAAATGAATATTTAAAGGATAGCAAAACAATAGTGATGATCAAATAATGTAGTTTGTAAAAGGCAAACTACCATAGTTAAGTTCTTGAAGTCTAATGCATCCGAATTTTAGTATTTTGAAGCAGACCTTCAAAGTTAGCATTGAAACAAAGTAAAGCAAAATAATAAAGCAAAATTAGCTTGCCAGAAACCAAGATGTGTAATTACTTGAATGAACACAGCAGAAAGAACATATTTTGAAATGACATAAAATCTTATTTAATTTGTTATCTAAATTTCTCAAGATGCTTTAAAAATGTTATTAATACCTTGCCTTATTCCACAAAGAACTGGAGAAGACTTAAAAACATAATTCAAAATTATAAAATACAAGTAGAATGTCTGAATCATGGGAACTATAAAGCAGAAGAGATCAAGAATACAGGAAAAAGAATCAGCAAAATGCAAATTTCTTCACAGGTGTTAATTGCTTTCCTATAAAATGACAACTTAAAAAATACAAATGACTGGAAAGACTGAACAGTGCACACTACAATGATGAATAAACTTTTTCTTATACTGTTTAAATTCTGGACTATATTTTATTCAAAAAAAGGAAAAAATGTATAAAGAATGGCTTCTAAAAGCAAGCTAATGTTACGGTGGTATTTTTGAATTTGGGGATTGGCTAGCATTGTAATAAATATTACTCACAAATATCCAAGATCTACTATGGAGGTTAGTATACAATCAATCCCACTAGTTTAAAAAGCACACACCTACCAATAGTACTTACATACTTTACATAACTTCGGTTCTCAATATCTCAAATCAATTTAGACTACAAATACTTACTTTATTAATTTTGTCATCCTGAGATAATGATGAAGAATTAACAGATATTTTTTTCCTCAAAATATTAAGGTACATTTTATCAACATGTTCTTCTGTGGCAGTTACTTGTGGACAGCTGTTTTCCATACTCTCATTTGTGGTCTTTTGTAAAATCACATTCTCATCGTTTTTGTCAAAAAAATGGTTCACATGTTGTGAGTCTTGAGACATAATATTTGGGTTCGTCTTCAGGGGTAAAGAGTTAACAAATTCAGTTTCTTTACTTTCGGCCACTTTCTCAGAGCTATACAACAAAACAGGACACAGATAATGAACCCTATGTAACAGCTCTTCAAATATCAGTAATAACCACGTGTGTGTGTACACGCAGACGCACTATATATATGAGTTGTTAACTATTCATATTAAGTTACTGATGTTAAATACATTATTTATAATTTTGGTTAATAGTACACTCACGTAGTGTAATGGCTTTTAATTTCAGATAATAATTTTAATGCAGTATAATGCAAAGGATTATAAAGGTGATGCTGACATCTATTTTAGAGAAAGACCAAACCAAACAAGACTGAGACTGCTTTTGTAGAAGAAAAGTAAAATATAAATTTCTAAGTGAACTTTCTGTAATATATCTTTTATCTACAATTTCTTATAAAGTTGACAGGCATTTGAAATAAGAAAAACATTTTAAACATTTCTAGAAGAAACTAAAGAAATAATCATAATTTATGTTAAGGAGGCTTAGAATATAAATACTAAAAAAGCATATATTTAATCACAGTATAGGACAAATTTTAATGTAAAACAGAAAAATCACTAGGCTTTGAAATGAAAATCACTTCTGTGGTTTGAAACACTTAAATGTAACAATTCAATTAGATATTAAAAATCTAGAAGATACAACGTAAGGAAATGTTTTAAATGCGGTTAAATATTGGCAAACTACAGGGACTCCAAAAATATGGCAACTATGGTTTAAAACACTTAAATGTAACAATTCAATTAGATGTTAAAAATCTAGAAGATATAACGTAAGGAAATGTTTTAAATACAGTTAAATATTGGCAAACTACAGGGACTCCAAAAATATGGGAACTGTTAGTCTTAAAATATTTAATCATGTGTCAATTAGGCCATTTAATTTTATAATTTATAAAATAAGATTAAAGAAAGTTTAAGAGGCTACCATTTTCATATAATGTAGATTGACTTCTCGGTAACCATTAGAAGCTTCTAAAGTAGCTGGAATCATCAAAAATATAATAGTTCTTTCCTTCTTCATAGCAGCAGAACCTGGCTAGATGTTAATCAAAATTGTTTCTCATTCTTGCTGGGTACCAACTAAACTATATTTCCTTGCCAACTTCCATCTAGATGGGACCATTTACTAGTTCTTCCCTTTAGAATGTGAGTGCTATGATGCCAAGAACCCAACTTATTTGTTACTGGCTTAGTTGTCAGGTTTAGGGTGGCAGGAAACTGGTAATTAGAGTCTGGAGAGATGGCAGCCTATGTTTTACAGTGGCAAAACATTGCTAAATTGTCATCTACAAAAGTTTGTAAGGCAGACCACATGCCAGCCGACCATGGAGAACTAAGAGAAATGATGGGAAAGAACAAGGAGTTAAGTGCTGGCTACTATTAGCTTCTTTTGACAAGATATTACCAAAAAACTGATGAGCTCAACACAGAATGAGCTGGTTTATAAGCAGAATTTAGAGAGAATAGAAAGAATCTAGAAACTCTAGAAATGGGTTCTCTCTCTTTGTAGACTCAAGCTGTAAGATTCAGCCTTGAAGAATACTATGAAAAAGCAAGATTTCATGAGACTTCTTGGTTGAAGAGTGAGGAGTGACCCAGTCCCTTAGCAAAGATCATATTAAGTGTCATCCAGAGTGAGACTCCGTCTCAAAAAAAAAAAAAAAAAAAGAGTGTCATCTTCACATTTAAGGTATTGTTTCCCCAAATATCCAGAGAACTGCAAATAAACGCAGAGAAAAAAATTTGAGGGACAAGGAATCAAAGAATAAAGCAGATTTAAAACCTTTGTCTAGCAAAGAACTTTTTTTTTTTTTTAACTTTTATTCCAGGTTCAGGGATACGGGTATTGTCCACGGGGATTTGGTATTCAGACTATTTCATACCCAGGTAATAAGCATAGTACCCAATAGGTAGCTTTTCGATCTTCACCCTCCTTCCAACCTCTCAAGTTGGCCCCAGTGTCTGTTGCTCTCATCTCTCTGTCCATATGTACTCAATGTTTAGCTCCCATTGATAAGTGAGAACATAAGTATTTTGTTTTCTGTTCCTGCATTAGTTTGCTTAGGATAACGGCCTCTAGCTCCATTCATGTTGGTGCAAAGGATGTGATCTCATTCGTTTTTACGGCTGCATGGTATTCTATGGTGTGTATGTATCACACTTTCTTTATCCAGTCTATCACTGATGGGCATTTAGGTTGATTCCATGTCTTTGCTGTCGTGAACAGTGCTGCAATGAACATATGCATGCATATGTCTTTATGGTAGACAATTTACATTCCTCTTGGTACATATCCAATGATGAGATTGCTGGTTGAACAGTAATTCTGCTTTAAGTTCTTTGAGAAGTCGCCAAACTGCTTTCCACAATGGCTGAACTAATTTACATTCCCACCAGCAGTGTATAAATGTTCCCTTTTCCCTGCAACCAGCATGGTTTTTCTTTTGTTTGTTTTTTACTTTTTAATAAGAGCTATTCTGACTGGCGTGAGATGGCATCTCATTGTGGTTTTAATTTGTATTTCTCTAATAATTAGTGATGTTGAACATTTTTTCGAATGCTTGTTGACTGCACGCCTCCTTTTGAAAAATGTCTGTTCATGTTCTTGCCCACATTTTTTTTTTTTGTTTGAGATGGAGTCTTGCTCTGTCACCAGGCTGGAGTGCAGTGGCGTGATCTCGGCTCACTGCAACCTCTGCCTCCTGGGTTCAAGCGACTCTCCTGCCTCAGCCTCCTGAGTAGCTGGGACTACAGGTGCGTGCCACATGCCCAGCTAATTTTTGTATTTTTAGTAGAGATCAGGTTTCACCATGTTGGCCAGGATGGTCTCGATCTCTTGACCTCATGATCCGCCTGCCTCAGCCTCCCAAAGTGCTGCGATTACAGGCATGAGCCACCGTGCCCAGCCTACTTTTTAATGAGGTTGCTTTTTGCTTATAAATTTGCTTAAGTTCCTTATAGATTCTGGGTAGCAAAGAACTCTAAATTTCATCGCTGGCACGTGGAATTCACTGGGACCAAAGAGATTGCTAGGTTACTAAACTTTCTGAAAGAATATAATGTCAAAGAAACCATAACCCTGTTCAAAAGAAAAAAAAAAACAAGAAACCCAAAAGCCAGTGACTGGGAAACGTAAAGCTACCTGTAGGCAGGAAGTGGATTGAAAAGGGAGTGTATCCCCCAACACGGGCATACCCCTCAACCTAAAATCCACTTCAGTTGTAGCCAATGGTGATAAAATACAAGACAAATCCTCCAAGGAATGGAATGAGGGGCTATATAGAATAATAGATTTAAGGTAGCCCCTTCTTAATAGAATAATAACCTAATCAAGGAAAATCCCTATTCCCAAGGTAGGAGGCCTTTACAAGTTCTTTCCAGTGGTTCTCAAAGTTGCAACATTGATTACTGTATTTTCCTCATACTTTTCCTTGCTGAAAGGGCATATCTACTGCAGTTCCACCATTATATACTGGGATGGGGGCGAGGAAGTATATAACCCTGTCTTTTTAATTCATCCATTGGTAGACAATGAGGAGTTGTACTCAAACCTGACAGAGAGGACTGTGCTTCACCTGGAAATCCTGGTCTTTCAGATGCATACAGTCCTGACTGGGGCTTGGGGATGCCTGCTTGGGGAAGGGGATAAGTGAGTCTGGATATGAAGAAGAGTGAAATTGATATTTTGTTATTAGAAAGATATATCCTGGCAGAGAATGACTAGATGCTGACCAAATTCATTTTTCTTTCTTGGCACAGAAACAAACCACATTTCACAGCCTCCTTGGACCTAGTTAGCTAGATGTGCTGGTTCCTACCAATGGAATGTGAGCTGAAGTGATATGAAACATATGAAACTTCTGTGTTAAGACAGTTAAAAGAGAGGATGTAAAACCATTCTCTTTCTTTCCTTACTGACTGGTTGGATGATGTCATAACAAATCTTAAAACTATGTGCTGATGACAGAAGTAGCCTGGGTTCCTAAATGACTGTGTGGAGCAGAGCCCCAATTCAGCCCCACTGACCCACAAGGGACAGTGATATGAGCAAGAAATACATTTTTGATGATAACCTACTAAGATTTCAAGGATTATGTTATGGCAGCTAGGGTCATTTACTCCAGAGTTTACTAAAAAATTTTTAAGTATGTGTACTAGAGATCATATTACTGACATTTCTATTACATATGATTACTGTTATACCTTTAATATAAGTATATGTTTTAAGCTTTTAAACACAAATGTAAAAATCTATTTTAGAATTCCTATTATTGAAATTGTTTTACCTATAACAACAAAGACACAAGACATGTAAGAAAATCTCTTTAGTTATCACTAACATACCCCCAAAGAGCAATGATGAGTGGGCACAATCTCTCCTTTAAAAATACTAATTAGCACTATAGATCAATGGAAGACTACTAGACTTAGCACTGAAGTGAATGAATTTTAGTGTAAGGTTCACTGCATCATTTTTTTCTCAACTAGCACAAATGTAGAAACAAGGCCAAGAAATCACCACATGTGGATTTACATCATGAGAATATAGTATAGGAAGGGGGCTCAAAACATGTCTGTTGAAGACACAAATGAACAAATGACAACATGAATGAATGACAGGCTACTTCACAGAAGTATTTTATGGAGATCAAAGACCTGACAATATAAGTGGTTAGGCACATGAATGCCCTGTGTTCCTGGTCCACAGCTCTATGGCCTTAGGCAATGGCTTTATTTATTTTAACCTCTTAGGCTTCAGTCTTCTTGTCTATGAAACAGGGATAATAATGGACTATAACCCATGGAGTTGCGGTAAGGTTAAATGAAATAATACATGTAAAGTATTTGCCCAAAGTAAATGTGACAAATGTTAGCTGTTATCACCTACCAGTAAATTGAGTTCATCTCAGTTTCATTTCTTGAATTACGGGCATAAAGACGCCTTCTCTACTTGTTACGAGGATCGCGTGGGAGATTGGAAATGACATTTCGGTGCTACATAAAAGTAACGCTGTCTATGATAAGGTTACTGTGACGTGTTACTCCGTGTTGAAGAATGACAGTGGGTTACACATACTTCCACTAAACTGTATTGGACCTGAAGCATTTTAATGAGGATCATTTCTCTTGTGGCTACAAAACTCACCCTGTGAGATGACAGCCAGTCTGTGACTAAGTCAAAACTAACTGGTTTATAAAGAAGCAAATCTATGACTCATAAACAGAATAACATTCACTTTCTCCCTCATCGTGAATGAACTGTTCCAGCACTATTTAAAGCTGAGGAGTCTGTATTTTTCAGTGAAAACCTTTAGGACTATTTGGTGGCAGCAACTTTTTTATAGCGTCTATTTATTTTTTCATTTAGCCCAAGATTTTTGATGACTTGAGTAAGGACAAATATAAAAAGAAGAGAGTAATGACTCACAGGTAGACTCAAGCTAATATTAGTCATTAGTCATTCACTAGGAATGATTACATAGAACAAATGACTATAAAAGTTTCCAATGACAAAACAATAAATTAAAAAATTCATACCTCACAGGTTGTAAATCAAAACCACTGACCCCAAAGGAATCTATTCTGATAGGTTTCATCAGCTCCTCTACTGTGGGCAGATCTAAGAGGCGGAAAAAAGAGCAGAAACAAAAAATGTAATGTAGGTTGCTTAATTTACATGTGTAATAGCACCAAAATTATATTTTCTCTGACACAGTTAACAAAACAGTACATGCAATAAGCCTGGTTTTCCATCTTAAGTTTCCTTATACCAGGAAAACTTCCTTTCTTATGAAATATCAAATAAATATCTCAAATATCAATATTAAATATATTTATCAAAAAATATTTATACACAAACACACTCTCAGTACATATTTGGTTGATCCTGAAATGCTGTTCTCTAACAAAATACAACTTTAGTATATGTATAGGCAAAAGAGTAAAAATGTCCCTTTAAGTGACTTCTTAATTTGATCAAGGCATATTGGAAAAGAAACTAGGCCAGGCGCAGTGGCTCAAACCTGTAATCCCAGCACTTTGGGAGGCCAAGACGGGTGGATCACCTGAGGTCAGGAGTTCGAGACCAGCCTGATCAACATGGTGAAACCCCATCTCTACTAAAAATACAAAAATTAGCTGGGCGTAGCAGCAGGTATCTGTAATCCCAGTTACACAGGAGGCTGAGGCAAGAGAACTGCTTGAACCAGGTGGCGGAGGCTGCAGTGAGCCAAGACAGTGCCACTGCACTCTAGCCTGGGTGACACAGCAAGACCCCGTCTCAAAAAAAAAAAAAAAAAAAGAAACTGAATTTTTGTTTTGTGTTTGGCTCTAATTTTATAGTTAAGCCAATGATTCCTGTATTTCATTTGAAAAAAATCTTTTTTTTTTTTTTTTTGAGGCAGAGTCTCACTCTCTTGCCAGGGCTGGAGGAACACTGGTGCGATCTTGGCTCACTACAACGTTCGCCTCCTGGGTTCAAGCTATTCTCCTGCCTCAGCCTCCCAAGTAGCTGGGACTACAGGCGTGCGCCACCATGTCCAGCTAATTTTTGTATTTTTAGTAGAGATGGGGTTTTATCATGTTGCCCAGGATGGTCTCAATCTCTTGACCTCATGATCCACCCACCTCGGCCTCCCAAAGTGTTGGGATTACAGGTGTCAGCCACCTCGTCCGGCTGAAAAAAACTCTTTAATTAAGCTCAGAGACTGAGAAACAATCACTACAGCAAATTGTATTTTAATTATATTACACTAAAAACTCTTTAGAAAGGATATCAAATAATTGAAAAATTCATCTATCAGTTTTTACCGGATTCCATAGTAGAGAAGTTTTTTGAATTCTCTTCATTTTCTTGAGAATGACCTTTCACTGAGCTCTTGGTATCTTCCATTGTATTACTATCAATTTTTTGTTTGTCTTCATCTCCCAATGAATGGGCTATATGACAATAAGCTTGATGTAGGGCTTCAACATCACTACTGCTTTGCCCATAGGAAACACCTGCTGAAATAAACGTAATCACCAGAAATAATTACACCACAAATACATGAGAACTATAAAACACTAATATCATTTCTTAACCTGTTAGGAATACAAAAGTAGGGTTAAGTACCAACTAGGTAATTTGCAGCTATGGCCTACCAGCATGGATTCACAGCAGGCTCAACAACTCTTTGAGCAAGTTGAGGCGTGTCCTGATGTGGTAAGTATAAAATCTGCCTTCACTAGTCATTGCTCTTTCTACTACTATTCTTAATCAACTCCCTCTGCATTGGATAAAACTATTCTTAAGTTTCCCAAACTAAAAAATTCCTTTGAAGGATTCTACCTCTCCTTTACCATTACCATTCTCTCTGCTTCTCTGTACCACCAAGCATCCTGTCATCTACACTTTTTCAACCACAATGAATTCAGTCCTCTAACTTTGAAATCCAATGTATTCCAACATCCTGCTAAAGCTGTTATGATCAAAAGCAGTTTCCTAATGACCAACTCCATTTGTCTTTAGTTCTCTTCAACTATGTGAGACATCTGACATTGTCTTTTTCACTTTATCTTAGCCAAAAGGCAGAGAAGTCATACATTGTTTTTTTTCCTGGTAACTGTTTCTTCTGCATGCCTTCTTCTTTTTGTTATTACCACCATTTTGACGGCAGTTTTCCATCTCTTATGGTCTATAGTTCATTTCAGGGCTCCATCTTCAGTCCTCTTCTTTTGAACACCTCACTTACTAGTTTTTTGGCCTGGCTAATTTCATGAAGACTTTTAGCTTCAACTATTACCCATATGCTTATGACTCCAAAATCTATGTCTTGCGTCCTTATAACTCTTTTCTGAATATCAACTTAACAGGCATCTAGATTGTCCTATATCACATCTACATATTCCCCAACTGAATTCATTATATTCCCTACTAAAACTTGTTCTACTACCAGTATTTCCTAATCACATCACTATTTAGTCAGTCACAATAGAAACCTTGATGTCATCATTCACTCTTCCTTCCCTATTAGCCTTCTGATATAGTTTGGCTGTGTTCCCACCCAAATCTCATCTTGAATTGTAACTCCCACAATTCCCATGTGTCGTGGGAGGGACCTGGTAGGAGGTGATTGAATTATGGGGGTGGGTCTTTTCTGTGCTGTTCTCATGATAGTGAATGAGTCTCATGAGATCTGATGGTTTTAAAAACAGGAGCTTCCCTGCACAAGCTCTCTTTGCCTGCCACCATCCATGTAAGATGTGACTTGCTCCTCCTTGCCTTCTGCCATGATTGCGAGGCTTCCCCAGCCATGTGGAACTGTAAATACAATAAACCCTTTTTCCTGTATAAATTACCCAGTCTTGGGTATGTCTTTATCAACAGCATGAAAATGGACTAATATACCCTCTCTTTCCACCAACTGACAAATTCTAGAAAAAAGAATTCAAAAAATTTAATGTTAATAATGATTGCACAGTTTTGAGTACTTACTCATTTTGTAATTTTTATTACTGACGAGTGGAATTTTCAAAATTAGAGGAAAATAATGAATCACAGAAGACAGGAAAAAAGAAAAACAGGTGACTAATCTCTTCTCTTCATACCCATGGTTAATTAACCAGTTATTAAAAATAAAATAGTATATATAGTCTCATCTTCCTATATATATAATGTAAGTTGTGTATATACACAACTTCTAAACAAAAGAGACAGCCAAGTGCTACATACAAGATTGTGTAAGAATGCCTTACAATGAGATGTCTTTCTAGCTAGTGCTTCAGGTCCCCATGGCTACATGAAGTATACCCAAATAACAAGTTTGCTTAAATAAACTAAAAACGGAAGAGGATACAGCCAACAGTTGAAGGGCAGAGATTTTCAAGAGGACATGAGGAAAAAGGTCTTGCTTGTAGCATGAATGAAAGAGATCCTTAATTTTAAGAAAAAAGGAAAAGCACATGGTGCCATTTTTTCCTCTACAAAAATATCAGGTTGAGCAAGTATCTGCTGAGCATACATAAAAGGAATTACTTCAATGGTAAAGACCATAATAGTGTCAAATGCTCATACCTAATTTAGTAGGTATGAGGTGTCAGAAAGAATAGGTTCTAGGCTTTTAAGCAACAACAGAGCAAACATGCAGAAAAACAAATGACCTAAAAGTTAGAAATGAAAAAAAAAAAAAAAAAAAAAGAGGTAGAAGAGGCTGCTCAAAAAATGGCAGGAAAATGGTACTTTTCTAAGTTGAGTTATTAACCTAAGTCATTTTAAAAATAATTTCATGGTTATGTAAGTTAACTTTTTTCCAAATATATCATGAAAAGGGGTTCCTTATCTGCCTTTTACATTGAAAACAGAAGACTCTGTAGTTATTTTATGTATTATTATTACAAGTCAAAAGCTCTCATATATTTCAACTTTAGAAAATTGAGGCTAGGCATGGTGGCTCACGCCTGTAATCCCAGCACTTTGGGAGGCTGAAGCAGGCGGATCACTTGAGATCAAAAGTTCAAGACCAGCCTGGCCAACATGGTGAAACCCCATCTCTACTAAAAAAATACAAAAATTAGCCAGGCGTGGCGAGGTGCACCTGTAATCCCAGCTACTCGGGAGGCTGAGACAGGAGAATCGCTTGCACCCAGGAGGCGGAGATTACAGTGAGCAGAGACCACGCCACTGCACTCCAGCCTGGGTAACAGAGCAAGATTCTATTTCAAAAAAAATAAACAAATAAAAAATAAAAAAATAAGAGAGAAAGTTGAGAAGTGCCAGATACTATTTTGCAGAGGAAAGGGTCTAATTTCATGGAGCAACACTGTCATCCTGTGATGACTCCAGTAATGGAGGCATAGCACAAAATGGTACTTGCCTGTGAGACAAATGAAAGTAAATGAAAGGTTAGATCTAGTCTGGTGTTAGGAAACCTTAAGTTCTATATTTACTAACCTCTTTGATACAGCAAAGCACAAAGAATTTCAGAAATAATATTTTTAACAAAAGAGAATCTTTGACAATGTTTAAAGTTAGGAAGTGTTTGAAAATTAACCAATGGTTGTTAAAGTTAGCTGCTTAACACATGAAGTGATATGGTAGAACAAAAAAAAACCCACTGAACTTTGCAGTTGTTAAACCTAGTTCACATACTCATATGAAGACTTTCAAGTATATCTTTTATTTTATTTATTTATTTATTTTTTGAGATGGAGTCTCACTCCATCGCCCAGCCTGGAGTGCAATGGCATGAACTTGGCTCACTACAACCTCCACCTCCCAGGTTCAAGCGATTCTCCTGCCTCAGCCTTCCGAGTAGCTGGGATTACAGGCACGTGCCACCACACCTGGCTAATTTTTTGTATTTTTCAGTAGAGACCGGGTTTCATCATGTTGGTCAGGCTGGTCTCGATCTTCTGACCTCAGGTGATCCACCTGCCTCAGCCTCCTAAAGTGCTGGAATTACAGGCAGGAAACAATGCACCTAGCTGAAGACTTTAAAGTATGTATTTTAAACACCAGAAATTCAATACCCCGCAGCCAACAAGTGTTTATACTGTATAACTCTAGGTTCTCTACTGCAGCATGTATTAGTAACACAGGGTTGACATAAATAATGACGATAATAACAACAACAAAGTTGTAACTGTTTAGTGACTCCTAAAAATGTACTATGGACAATATTTCATCTCAGTTGACCATCATAAGGGTTCATTTTAAAGAAGAGAAAACATGCTTAGAGGTAGGTACTCATTATCCAATGTCACATAGCTGGTAACTGGCAAGGTTGAAAATATGAATCCAAATCTACATGATAGTAAGTTCATGCTCTACTACGTTCAAGTAACGGACTAATCAAATTATCCTGGAGTCAAGAATATTTAAGAATTAAGACCAAAAAACTACAGCTTTATATAACTGCTTAGATCATCTTAATAAAATTTTTACTTTTAGAAATACATATTTTATTTCTGAGTTTTTCTTAAAACCTACAGTACTGGTTTTCATACTGTGTATGCAACTGATTTTGTTATCAGTTTTTCAGAGAAAATCATGGGTTTCACAGATGTATTATTGAAATTCCATTTTAAATCATGCTTTAAAACTTAAACATTATAATAGAAGCTAATCTGCACACTCAAATGTACCATTTATGTAACTGTAGTAATCTGAAGACATTATGTAATTATAATATTTTTAATAATTTTGCTTTCTTCTTTACTTGTTTCAATGCACATCTCAGAATAAAGTTTCTCTGGTCATCCTGAGTACATGAATTTCCTATAAAATACTGTTAATCAGAAAAGCTGTAGCTGTACGATGGCCTTTTAAAAAATTCATGTCTGCCTACTGAAAACTGTGCAAGGGCACAGACTATCAAAGCACGTATGTGACATGGTTCCTTAAATCAACAGCAGTAAAACTGGGGGACACGCACTCAGCACATGCTTACATCATGGTGGAATACTCAGTTGGGCAACAAGTGAGTAATGTGTCTTGATGGGGAAATTATGTCTTATAGTTGTAATTTTTTGACCTTTATATTTTAAAATGAAAGTAGATGTAACAAGTCAAAATAGTGGTGACTCTTGCAAAGACAGTGACTAGAAATAAGAGATGTGATGGACATTGTGGTTAAAGTCCTCTTGTTTTTTATCTGGTTGCCAATTACATGGGTGTGCTCGGTATTTCAAAACTCATTGAGTTGCACTATTGTGATACCACAAACTTTTCTATAGGTATATTATATATCAATTAAAAAGTAAAAAGCAAAAAAAAAAAAAAATGAAATGCAAGCTGATGATGGTTAGTGATTTCTGAGTTGGTTAGTGATTTCCATTACTCTTTTTTATCAAGTGTCTGAACTGGTTTAGTTAACCAGTATCCATAGACTGCAAAGCAAGCTGATTAAAAAGTTCCCACTTGCAGCTATTTATGTGATAAAACAAGTGTATTTTTATACTATTCAATCAACAAAAACAAAAAACACAAACACACTGGAAGGCTGATGGTGATATGAGACCGTAACAATCTCAATAGTTTCTAATTTCAAAAATTCCAAAAGACCATTACTATCCTCACCTATTTTATGAACAAATGTAACAAATATAAGTTTAAATATTTATCCTGATAAAATATCATTTTTACTTATGAGACAGTTCTACATAAGATTTCAATTGAAGATGTGCACTTCACTGCTTTAAAAAATTTTGAAAAGGCATTATCTTGAAGACCTTTATAAGCTTTAGGAAAGTCTAGTTGGTCTCAGGTATTTCAGAATTTGGGGATGGGGTGTAGATTTTTCCTAAAGAACTACGGAAAAGCACAATAAGACCAAAGTCCCATTTCTCCTACACATGGCAGATTTAACGGAATACTCTGGAGAGGCATAGAAAATTAGTTAACGTTCACCTACAGTGCTACACTTTTATCAACATCATTTATTCATTTATTAATAAATATTTATTTAAAACCTCACTTTACTTGGCCTACTTGCATTGTGCAAATTTCAATTAAATTATTACATATGGTAGAAAAATGTCAGATTTAAAGTTTTCATTATCAATATGGTTATTACATATACATTTCTTTAGAAATGTAGTCAATTATTCATGAAGCATTACATATTTAGAGAACAGTCAGGTTTCCAAACATTTTTACCTGTTCCTGTCATTTCATTCTCAGTCATTTCTGGTAGGCCCCTTGGCTTAGGTGTTATTTGATCTTGTTCATCAAGATTGACCTCTGCAACAGAGTCTAGTGAATCAAGCAGCACAACTGAAAGAATATAAAAGAAAAATGTAAGGAATGTAGATAAACTCAGTGGTTCTGCTGATCGAATAAAATTATTTTAAACATATGCAATGCAGGCCGGGTGCGGTGGCTCACGCCTATAATCCCAGCACTTTGGGAGGCCAAGGCTGGCGGATCACAAGGTCAGGAGATTGAGACCATCCTGGCTAACACGGTGAAACCCCGTCTCTACTAAAAATACAAAAAATTAGCCGGGCGTGGTGGCGGGCACCTGTAGTCCCAGCTACTCGGGAGGCTGAGGCAGGAGAATGGCGTGACCCTGGGAGGCAGAGTTTGCAGTGAGCCGAGATTGCGCCACTGCACTCCAGCCTGGGTGACAGAGCGAGACTCCGTCTCTCAAACACAAAAAAACATATGCAATGCATATAAAAAGAAAGATAAATGCTTATATACAAAGAACATATAATCTTTTATATATATATGTAACAAGCATGTTTTATCTATATGTGTGTGTATGTATATAACAAATATGATTTTCTTCCGATGTAGAAGATAGTAGACTAACATCAACATACATATCTATGCTTATGTACAGCCTAGTGTACATGTACACACGGAAGGCAAAGGGCATTAAGAAAAGTAAAAAAAATCTTAAATATAACAGAATGGATTCAAAATAGACATAAGAAACACATTATTGAGAAAAGCTAGGAACTTTAATTCCTTAGAAATATTTAAAAACAAACACAGATAGTGACTCATTCAGAATTACTTAGATGAAATTCTGAACAGACTAATTTTTTGCCAACTAAAAGATGAATATAAATAATATTTACCATTAGCTAGCATGCCAGTTTTTTCTTCTTCCTAAATTAAAAAAGGAAAATGATGACATGTTTTGAAATCAAAATTAGGTAAAATGACCACAATGCAAATAACAGCAAAATCTGAAATCCAGGGCTTTGTATTCCACATTGAAAAGATCAGGAACTGTGTTTTCTAGGCTTCTTTCACCAACCACTCTCATTTATCAATAATTCTTCAAGACTAGCTCTGACGGAACATCTAAAATTCTCTTCTGAACCTTGGCAATTACCAAAACTAATTTAGACCTTACAAATTCTTGCTTAAAGTATTTAAGTTCCATTTGCTCATCTACCTTGCTCAAGAATTCTCTAGTTTTTTTGAATGTCAAGACAACAGAGCTATTTCACACAAGAGTTCTGCAATTATAACATTACCAGTTTATTTTCACTTATTGTTCAAAATTAATGGCCAAATACCTTGTACTCATTATTTCATCTATGTTTCAAAAGACACAACTTTCAGAAAGACAGGCCACCAAACAGCAAGACAGATGAAGTTCTTCAATATTAGAGGTTCCCTTAGAATAAGTTTTCCTATTAATATCACCTCTACCTCCTACTTGGGTAGGCAGTTTGTGGGATCTTCCAATAACAGAGCTTTAATCCTTCCTATTTTGATTCTTACCCAGACAGTGCTCTGAAGCTTCCACAGTTAGGCTGATACATTTTTATATATATGGTACACCTTCTAAATATACCACGGTATTATGCCTTCTACGTACCTATTCATCTTTTCTTTTTTCTTTTTTTTTTTTTTTGGAGACAGGGTCGTGCTCTGTCACCCAGGCTGGAGTGCAGTGGCTCGATCTTGGCTCAATGCAACCTCTGCCTCCACGGTTCAAGCAATTCTCCTGCCTCAGCCTCCCGAGTAGCTGGGACCTCAGGCGCATGCCAACCATGCCCGGCTAATTTTTTATATTTTTAGTAGAAAAGGGGTTTCACCATGTTGGCCAGGCTGGTGACCTATTCATTTTTCAATAAAATATTGTAATGGTCATATTCCAAGTATAAATCTTATTAAATTTCTAAGGATATTCATCAGTCACATTAATTTCGATATTATTTCTAAGGTCATCTCATTTTTCCCTCAAAACTGAGTGACACGTAGACACCCAAGGACCAAATACTAAGTAAATTTAAAAATAAGAGGATTTATATATACCTGAAAAGTGTTTATCTTGAGTTTACAATTTCATTCACGTTAAAACATCTAGTCCTAACACACAGAACCAAAGAGACTGTGCCCAGACACAGACCAAATAAATAGTAATAACAAATAACAAAACAACAATATTAATTGTTCTAGCTACTATTAGATAGCTTCAAAGGTAAGTTCTATAAGGTAGGCAATATGAAGAAGCAGCCCTGAACAATTCTTGGTAAGAACTGGGAAATGAGAGAATCAGAGAATGAAGCACCACTGAATATGAATGGAATCATGTCGTTCCTTATCTTAGCCAAGTAAGTTTCAGACGTAACTAGCATAAATATCAGGGAGGAACATTTACTATACTTCATAAAGGCAAGTCATACCAAAGAAAAAGTATAAGTTAATATACTTGTTTAAAAATTAGTTTTGAAATTTTAATTAAGCTTTCAATTTCTAAAGCTTAACTTAAGCTTAACTTATTTGCCAAAAGAAGTCTTTGTTTGTCTGAGATAGGGTCTCACTTATCAACCAGGCTGGAGTGCAGTGACATGATCACAGGTCACTGCAGCCTTCACCTCCCTGGCTCAAGTGATCCTCCTACCTCAGTCTCCTAAGTAGCTGGGACTATAGGCACTTGCCACCATACTTTGCTAATTTTTTAAGGATTTAGTTTTTGGAGAGATGAGATCTCACTATGCTGTCCAGGTTGTCCTTGAGCTCCTGGGCTCAAACAGTCCTCCTGCCTCAGCCTCCCAAAGTGTTGAAATTACAGGCATGAACCACTGTGCCTGGCCAAAAACCTCTCATAAAATCATCAATTGTCATAATTTTTTTCATTAAGATTTACATTAATTTGATATCTTGAATTAAGAAAATGTTTAACTGTTAAGAGACCTGTGAGTTTACAACAATGAGCAAGATTATGAAGAACTCCATTTTTTGAGCTCTTCATATAGCAATAGGCAGCCAGGTTGATGAAAAAAGTTGCAAAACTGTTAAATATATAATTGATATATACCTGTTTGGGTACACTTATTTTTTCTGATTTGGAATTCTCTTTGGAAGGCGTCTCTTCATCTTTAGTAGTCAACGGTGCACCAACATACTCATCTTCAAAATCATCACTGTAATTTTCTGAAGAAAATAATTATTAAAAGTACAAAGACCACACTGTCAAAAAAGTCTAATTCCAGGAAAAGGCTGTTGATTTCCAAAGGAAGAAGTCTGTATAAGAACAGTTTATTGAAATATTAACAAAAAGATGCCTTTGGAGAATCTATAGAACTCTCCACCACAAATAAACAGAATATACATTCTTCTCAGCATCACATCACACTTATTCCAAAACTGATCACATAGTTGGAAATAAAGCACTCCTCAGCAAATGTAAAAGAACAGAAATCATAACAAACTGTCTCTCAGACCATAGTACAATCAAATTACAACTCAGGATTAAGCAACTCACTCAAAACCACACAACTACATGGAAACTGAACAACCTGCTCCTGAAAGACTACTGGGTAAAAACGAAATGAAGGCAGAAATAAAGATGTTCTCTGAAACCAATGAGAACAAAGACACAACATACCAGAATCTTTGGAACACATTTAAAGCAGTGTGTAGATGGAAATTTATAGCACTAAATGCCCACAAGAGAAAGTAGGAAAGATCCAAAATCGACACCCTAACATCACAATTAAAAGAACTAGAGAAGCAAGAGCAAACATGTTCAAAAGCTAGCAGAAGGCAAGAAGTAACTAAGATCAGAGCAGAACCAAAGGAGATAAGAGACGCAAAAAACCCTTAAAAAAAATCAATGGATCCAAGAGCTGGTTTTTTGAAAAGATCAACAAAATTGATAGACCGCTAGCAAGAATAATAAAGAGGAGAGAAGAATCAAATAGATGCAATAAAAAAATGATAAAGGGGATATCACCACCGATCGCACAGAAATACAAACTAGCATCAGAGAATACTATAAACACCTCTATGCAAATAAACTAGAAAATCTAGAAGAAATGGATAAACTCCTTGACACATACACCCTCCCAAGACTAAACCAGGAAGAAGGTGAATCCCTGAATAGACCAATAACAGGCTCTGAAATTGAGGCAATAATTAGTAGCCTACCAACCAAGAAAAGTCCAGGACCAGACGGATTCACAGCCGAACCCTACCAGAGGTAAAAAGAGGAGCTGGTACCATTCCTTCTGAAACTATTCCAATCAATAGAAAATGAGGGAATCCTCCCTGACTCATTTTATGAGGTCAGCATCTTCCTGATACCAAAGCCTGGCAGAGACACAACAACAAAAAAAGAGAATTTTAGACCAATATCCCTGATGAACATCAATGCAAAAATCCTTAATAAAATACTGGCAAACTGAATCCAGCAGCACTTCAAAAAGCTTATCCACCATGATCAAGTGGGCTTCATCCCTGGGATGCAAGGCTGGTTCAACATACGCAAATCAATATACGTAATGCAGCATATAAACAGAACCAAAGACAAAAACCACATGATTATCTCAATAGATGTAGAAATGGCTTTTGACAAAATTCAACAGCCCTTCATGCTAAAAACTCTCAATAAATTCAGTATTGATGGAACATATCTCAAAATAATAAGAGCTATTTATGACAAACCCACAGCCAATATCATACTGAACGGGCCAAAACTGGAAGCATTCCCTTTGAAAACTGGCACAAGACACAGATGCCCTCTTTCACCACTCCTATTCAACATAGTGTTGGAAGTTCTGGCTAGGGCAATCAGGCAAGAGAAAGAAATAAAGGGTATTCAGATAGGAAAAGAAGAAGTCAAATTGTCCCTGTTTGCAGATGACATGATTGTATATTTAGAAAACTCCATCATCTCAGCCCCAAATCTCCTTCAGCTGATAAGAAACTTCAGCCAAGTCTCAGGATACAAAATTAATGTGCAAAAATCACAAGCATTCTTATACACCAGTAACAGACAAACAGAGAGCCAAATCAGGAATGAACTTCCATTCACAATTGCTTCAAAGAGAATAAAATACCTAGGAATCCAACTTACAAGGGATGTAAACCACCTCTTCAAGGAGAACTACAAACCACTGCTCAGTAAATAAAACAGGACACAAACAAATGGAAGAACATACCATGCTCATGGATAGGAAGAATCAATATTGTGAAAATGGCCATACTGCCCAAGGTAATTTATAGATTCAATGCCATCCCCATCAAGCTACCAATGACTTTCTTCACAGAATTGGAAAAAACCGTTTTAAAGTTCATATAGAACCAAAAAAGAGCCCGCACTGCCAAGACAATCCTAAGCCAAAAGAACAAAGCTGGAGGCATCACACTACCTGACTTCAAACTATACTACAAGGCTACAGTAACCAAAACAGCATGATACTGGTACCAAAACAGAGATATAGACAAATGGAACAGAACTGAGTCCTCAGAAATAATACCACACATCTACAGCCATCTGATCTTTGACAAACCTGAGAGAACCAAGAAATGGGGAAAGGATTCCCTATTTAATAAATGGTGCTGGGAAAATTGGCTAGCCATAAGTAGAAAGCTGAAACTGGATCCTTTCCTTACTCCTTATACGAAAATTAATTCAAGATGGATTAGAGACTTAAATGTTAGACCTAATACCATAAAAACCCTAGAAGAAAACCTAGGTAATACCATTCAGGACATAGGCATGGGCAAGGACTTCATGTCTGAAACACCAAAAGCAACGGCAACAAAAGTCAAAATTGACAAATGGGATCTAATTAAACTAAAGAGCTTCTGCACAGCAAAAGAAACTACCATCAGAGTGAACAGGCAACCTACAGAATGGGAGAAAATGTTTGCAATCTACCCATCTGACAAAGGGCTAATATCCAGAATCTACAAAGAACTTAAACAAATTTATAAGAAAAAATCAAACAACCCCACCAAAAAGTGGGCAAAGGATATGAACAGACACTTCTCAAAAGAAGACATTTATGCAGCCAACAGACACATGAAAAAATGCTCATCAATGGTCATCAGAGAAATGCAAGTCAAAACCACAATGAGATACTATCTCACACTAGTTAGAATGGCAATCATTAAAAAGTTAGGAAACAACAGGTGCTGGAGAGGATATGGAGAAACAGGAACACTTTTACACTGTTGGTAGGAGTATAAACTAGTTCAGCCATTGTGGAAGACAGTGTGGCAATTCCTCAAGGATCTAGAACTAGAAATACCATTTGACCCAGCCATCCCATTACTGGGTATATACTCAAAGGATTATAAATCATGCTACCATAAAGACACATGCACATGTATGTTTATTTTGGCACCATTCATAATAGCAAAGACTTGGAATCAACCCAAATGTCCATCAATGATAGACTGGATTAAGAAAATGTGGCACACATATACCATGGAACACTATGCAGCCATAAAAAAGGATGAGTTCGTGTCCTTTGTAGGGACATGGATGCAGCTGGAAACCATCATTCTGAGCAAACTATCGCAAGGACAGAAAACCAAACACTGCATGTTCTCACTCACAGGTGGGAAGTGAACAACGAGAAAGAACACTTGGACACAGGGTGGGGAACATCACACAGTGGGGCCTGTCATATGGTGGGAGAGGTGGGAGGGATGGCATTAAGAGAAATACCTATTGTAAATGACGAGTTAATGGGTACAGCACACCAACATGGCACATGTACACATATGTAACAAACCTGCACGTTGCACACATGTACCCTAGAACTTAAAGTACAATTAAAAAAAAAAAAGAACTTTCTCTTTTGCAAAGATTTAATGAGCGTTCAATTTATAAGACTATCTTTGGTTTATGTCATTATGGTACTTTCAAATAGTTCTTAGAGTTTTATATTTTTAGTCTTTTATATAATTAACCAAATAAAAACTTTTAGAGCTGTCCAAAGGATCTTGTATTACCTTTAAAATAAGACTTTAATATTTATTTTTAAAAGACAAACATGACCGACTACTTACTTATAAAAGGAAGGACTTTTGTGAAATCTTGCCACTTTTTAAAAGGTTGGATTTTGCTTCTTAGGTTGACTGATTTTTTTTTTTTTTTGTCTCTACAGGTATCTCTACTGTAAGTCTTAACTAGTACTTATGAAAGATCTCTGACCCTTTCCTTAGGTAACTACTGGCCTTATATGACCTTTGCTGTTTTCCCAATCCTGAGTGCTTCTTATCTAAAGCCTCCAAATTATATCTCAATGAGTTTGTGGAGAAGGAAAAGGTGTCTCCATGTTAACTCAGGCATTCAGTCTACTTACGGGCAAGGTTGGACAGGAATTATTTGACCAGGATCTCTTCTTCAATTTTTAACTTGTTCACAGTATTAATTCAGATTTGTGGCTATGAAAGGGAACACCTTTTCAGAGTGGAACTGGTCATTTTAGAAACAAACATGATCTAATTTGTATTTCAAAAAACTACATCACATTGAGAAACAGGATGGCCTGATGGGAAAAAGACTACATAAGGTACTAGAGTCTACCTCTGGAATGCCTGTTTTTTACTCTTTTCTTAGAATGAAGATGAAGACGGCAACTTGTAATTAATACTGGAAGTTAAGAAATGAATTTGAGAGGGTTTGGGAGTGAAACAGGGATGCTTCCAGTGAGATATGGCTACAGAAACATCTACATTTTAATTCGTAAGAAATATGAGCTTGGAACAGCATGTATATTGTAACTTAGGTAGATAAACTAGGTTAGTTGGTTAACTATGTCAGTATCTGTATTCTGAGGCTGAGAAGTTCACCTTTGTTTCTCTTCCACATGAGAAAGAATGCTGCTTGGGATTTTTAAGTATCAGTAGACATATAGTAAAAATCATAAGACAGTTAAAAGTAATTACTTTGTATTAGGCACACTTCTAAGTGCTGAGACCAATACAAGATGATCCAGACTTTAGTCGTCTAGGTGGGAACCACCGAATTTTAAGTAACCTGCGAGATTAGACTTGCTTAAGAAAAGATGATGAACGAGGAAAGAGGAGATATGGGAGAATATGACATTGAACTTGGACAACTGCTTAGGATTCGGGAACCAATGGGAGGTGCTGTGGTGTGTGTGTGTGACTGCGTAAAGAAAGTGTTAGAAACAGTTCAGGCAGTATGGCATAGTGCTTAAGAGCATCACCTGGAGCCAGAAGGCCTAGATTCAATTCCTGGTTCCACTACTTTCAGCTGCAGAACCACTGGCAGGCCACAAACTCCCTTTGCTTTACTTTTTCCATCTGTAAATTGGGGATAATAGGACTTTTCTCAAAAGATTGCTGAGATGATTAGCTATAATGTTTATGGTAATTATTGCTGTTAACATTATTATAGTTACTTTTTTTTTTTTTTGAGACGGAGTTTTGCTCTTGTTGCCCAGACTGGAGTGCGATGGCATGATCTCTGCTCACTGCAACCTCTGCCTCCCGGGTCCAAGCGATTCTGCTGCCTCAGCCTCCTGAGTAGCTGGGATTATAGGTGCCTGCCATCACGCCCAGCTAATTTTTTGTGTTTTTAGTACAGACAGGGTTTCACCATGTTGGCCAGGCTGGTCTCAAACTCCTGAAGTCAGGTGATCCACCTGCCTTGGCCTCACAAAGTGCTGGGATCACAGGCATGAGCCACCACACCCAGCCTACTATAGCTACTTTTGTACTTAATCCAAATCAAAAGTTTATACAGCCAAGTATTATTTCTGATTGGGAAAAGTGCCAATCTAATAAGCATTCTTCAAAACTGTATTTTATTATTTTCAAGTAGTAACTAAACAGCCTACAGGCAAATACTAGCATCCAGCACATAAATGACTGACTTCCTCCCCAGAAACGGAAATAAAGTACATTTGAAGTAAGAAGGAAGTGTCATTGGTAGACACAGAAATGAGAGATAAGAAACAAAGAAAAGAAAAACAGCACATGTCAGAGATTTCAGGAACAAACATCATGGCAAATTAAGTTTACATAAAAATGAAAGAGTAAACTAATTTGAGAGGGTGATTCTTATATGAGAAACATCAGAGATAATATCTAGGCTCTTCCACATTGTTCAGAAAACAATCAGAATATTCACTTGTACCATTCTGACCTTTTTCGCAGGAAGATGTTACATATTCAAGTTACTAGGTTTCTATGATTCTCTATCCTTATAACTTCAAAAATGTTATTTTCAGAAATAAAAATGTTCTTAAAGTTCAGATAAACCATATGCAATGTAAAAGATCCTTTCGGAAGACATTTTTCATCTTTTATTGGCAAACTTAGCTGCAAATTTTTAACTTTTTTGCCAATCTAGAGGACTTTCTCCTCTGCCATGTTGGAGTTAAAGGGATTGTACTTTCTTTGTAAACAATACAATATATAAAACAACTATTTTCAAATATTAGAAAAGTGGCAGCAAAAAAAATGTGATTTCTAAGAAAAGAAGGGAGCTAGCCCTACAATTACCTGAAGGCACATACATTCTGAAGTACTGAGCAGGGGCGGGAGATCAGGACAGTCTCACTGAGTAGAGGAGAGACAGATAAGTTCAGAAAGGCTGAGGCAATTTAGAAAATATATGACAGTAATCAAGAGAGGAGGTGCCTAAGTAAAAACAAAGCCCCAGAAATCTGCATAGGGTGCCCTTGAATCTTTGTTGAATACTAAGCTGTTAATGCATAAAATGAGCCAAGAAAAAGTGGGATGCTGTAAGTTAGACAATTCTCAGAGTTCATACAAGACAGGGAGACTTTTGAACTCTAATCTGCTTAAGTGGAGAGTCCTCATTGATCACTAGGGGCATCCAATAGAAGCCTCAAAAGGGATGTGCTTTAGCAGTAGGGTTAGAGGTTACTAGAGTTACTCTAGACTTCCGCTAACAAAGCATAAGAAAAGCCTTGAAAAGAAATCAAGTGGTAGGATCAACTACTTACCAGACAAAGCTCAATAATACTCTTTAAAAGAGGAAAATCAAATCCAAACACTGAATAACATAAAATTCACAATACCCAATATCCAATAAAAAATTACTAGACTTCTAAGAGGCAGGAAAAAGTGTCAGGAAACTAGAAGAAAAAATACCCAACAGAAAAGAGACCCAGAAACAAACAAATACTAAAATCTGTAAAATATGCTTAATATTAAGGACTTGAAAAAAATGAACATAATGAAGAAAAATACTAAAGAATTTTAAAACAAAGACCCAAAATGAACTGTTAGAGTGAAGAAAAAAAAAAGGATGGGATTAGGCCAGGCGTAGTGGCTCACGCCTGTAATCCCAGCACTTTGGGAGGCCAAGGCGGGCAGATCACGAGGTCAGAAGATCAAGACCATCCCGGTTAACACAGTGAAACCCCATCTCTACTAAAAATACAAAAATTTAGCTGCGTGTGGTGGCGGGCACCTGTATCCCAGCTACTCGGGAGGCTGAAGCAGGAGAATGGTGTGAACCCGGGAGGCGGAGCTTACAGTGAACCGAGATCGCACCACTGCTCTCCAGCCTGGGTGACAGAGCAAGATTTTGTCTCAAAAAAAAAAAAAAAAAAAAAAAAGATGGGATTAATAGCAGATTAAAGAAAGGAAAAAGATCAGTAACTTGAAGCAAAGGAACTGTTCTATCGTGAACAGTGAAGCACAGAAAGAAAAAAAGGTTTTAAAAAATGGAACAGTCTTAGTGACCCATAAAACAAAGCTTAGCACTCTAACATAATAAGGGTCAGAGGGCAGGAAGCGGAAAGCAGCATTATTATTAATATTTTAAGAATTCATGGCCAAAATATTTTTTATTTTGATGGAAACTATAAATCCATAGATCAATGATGCTCAACGAACTCTGAACAGAATAAATATAAGAAAAGCATACCATGACACACCATAGTCAAACTGCCAAAAAACAAGGATAAAACCTTGAAAATAGAGGGAAAAAAGACATGATATACACAAAATAACAATAACAGGAATTACCAGAAACTTCTCATGAGAAATAAGGTCAAAAGACAATAGAATAAAATCATTAAACCGCCCAAAGGAAAAAAAAAACACTACATAAAATTCTATATCAAGTAAAAGCATTCCTCAAAAACAAAGGCAGAGTATATTTTCAGATAAACAAAAGCTGAGAGAACTTGTTCCTAGCAGTAACCTGCACTACAAGAAATGTGAAAGGAGGCTCTTCGTGATGAAGAAAAATAATTTGAGATAGAAATTCAAATCTACGCAAAATGGAATACAAAGCACTGGGAATGGTAAATATATGGATAAATACACATTTTAACATAAATATCCATTTCTTATATTCCTTAAAAGTACTTTTAAATGATAATTGATTGCTTTAACAACAATAATAATGCGCTTTTTAAAATAATAATGCGGTGTTTTTAAGACATGCAGAAAAACGTTGACAAAAATAGCAAAATGGTTGAGGAGAGTTTATTGTTGTTAGAGTTCATATAAATATAGTGATATAATGTTATTTGAAAGTAGACTGTAATAAGGTAAAGACATATATTTTGACTCATAGGGCAACTAAGAAAAAAAAATACAACAAAGAACTATAGCTAAAAAGCCAAAAGCAGAATAAAATGGAATACTATAAATAATACAATAGAAGGGAGGACAAAAGCAACAAAAACAAAAAGATGAAAAGAAAACACATGGTAAAACAGTAAACAACTATATCAATAAATACATTCCTGTAAAGGGTAAAAACACATCAGTTAAAAGGCAGAGACTGTCAGATTGAACAAAAATGCTAAAACCAGCTATATGCAGTCTACGAAAAAAACATTTTAATATAAAAGCACACATGCATTAAAAGTCAAAAAGCAGGAAAAGGTACACCTCTCCATCAACATGCTTTGCAGGTCTTACCATGTCTTCAGAGATGCCCACAATCCTGGCACAAAAATCCTTTTTTCTTTCTTCCCAAGTGGTCCACTGCCCACTCTCAACAAACGAGGCAGTTCACTTTTAACAATTTCTTAGCAGCTCAGTTTATAACACAGGCAAACCCACTCTATCTATTCAAAGCTCTAAGACAATATGATTTTCCTTTTAATTATTTTTCCTATCAATGTCTTCATTAAAAGCTATTATCTTTTCAAATATTATAAATTTAAGAACCAATGAAATTACCTGCCAGTTCTTCATGTTTCGATTCATTCTCATGTTCGTCATCAGTTAGTTCTACATTAGCTTGATTACTGGAAAAAATATTTATTCAATTTAGCATTATATGTTAAAAATATATTCTCATGCAACTCTTTCTGTATACCTTTTAAAAAAATCCCTAAAATTATACATGTTCTCTCTCAAGTCCTCTTGTTCTATCAAAAGCTAAAAATTTGAGAGCTTTAAGGAAAATGTTTTGAAAATAAAGCATCTTCGAAGCATATGATTAATTGTAGCTTGAAAGTAATACAAAGGAAAAAGATGCCCTATTTCCTAAATATACACAATTTTACTACTATGTGCATTTTACATGTCCAAATATTATCTTATGATCCACACTAAAGATTAGAAATTGACCACAAGCTATGAGAACCAGTGAAGTCCATACAAAAACCAGAAAAAAATTGCTAAGGTCAGCACTTACATGCTAATAAGCCATTTAATCCTGAAATGGAAGCTGAATCGGAGCCTTAAAACAAAACCTAAGCAAGGGAACAAAGGAGCTTGAGTATGATTTAATTATATTGGATGTATTAGTTCATTTACTGCTTTCTCTGAAGCCAGGAATCAGTTCTACCTTTTCAGTCTATCAACCCTCTTTAGTGAGATTGTAAGAGAAACTATAAGACTATGTAATAATGATGAGAGCTACAAACACCTAATATTGCATGTTCAATGCTATTCTGTACTTTGACCGGCCTGTTCTGGAGCAGAAATATCAATAGTTAAGAATACTGTTAAGAAATAAGAAAAAAGTTTAAAAATGTAGGCAAGTGGCAAAAAGTTGTGGCCCACAAACCCGGCATGCTTAACCTGTATTGACACCGTTGGGAAAGGCAATGACCATAGGCCCTGAATGTCTCTGTACATTCTTGCTGAATATGCCAAGAGTGCAAGACGCTGATCATTTTTCACCATGCCATTTCGGTAACATTTCCGACCAAATAAAGAGCAGGCTTGTCTCCACTTTATAAAAGTAATACATTTTTCCAAGCTCAGTGTTCCTCTTCTGTAACATAGCCCACTGTGTGTGCATACATCAGTTATGGATCCTTTGCCTTGCCCTCAGCATACTCATAGGGCATGGGGAACCAATGCAAACAAATGCGACACTCAGGTACTGCCTTTGTTCTTTAATTCTGATCCAGGAATCTTCTGTCTATTGTCAACATCATAAAACTGGAAGACTAGCTTGTTAGCTTGCCAAGTAGGGTAAAAATCTCAGACCCTGAAAAGTTCATGACGATAAATGCATTTCTTTATCCACTGTCTATAAAAAACTAATCATCCTGCAGAGCCTAGGCACTCCAATAATCAGAGATTATGATTCTCCCGACCCTGAACTCAATTATACCTTTGTGATCTCAAAATCCTAAATAAAATCGTAATCTGCTTTCCATTCATAATTTAAGAATTACATGGATAACTAAATAAGGGCATTGAAGACCTCAGGTTTCAAAGGTCTTGAGAATGGCAATGGTCTAGTGTAATAAAGAGAGGATCAACTCAGTGAACTAGTGGGATTCCTAGAATAAATGAGGTTTCCTGATAACCATCAGGGTCAACCATACAAAGATTAAGACACAGATCAAACTTGTCTTTGCTCCTTGGTTCCCACCTGCCTTTCTGTTGTATTTTTTCCTGAGTTTATAATAGTAACCTGGACTCTCTTATTTATCTGTGGAAAATGACTTAATAAATTGCTTTCCTAGTAAGGACTTCTTGGCAATGTACTATTAGTCTCCATAGCATGAAATTTCAGACTTTGGAGGCAGCATGGGCTCCCAAATACAAAGAAACATATTCTATTCACACATAAGAAAAATCCTAACTGTAAAATGAACAGATAACAGATTTAAAAAATAAGATTTAATTTTGCCTGTTATAATGTTTACCTATTTAAAATCATGCATATATCAGCCTTCCAGGAAACACAGAAAACATAAAAATCATTAACAGTTTACACTGTACTTTACCTATGTAAAGCTTTAAAATGTATAGAGTCATTAGAATCCAATTCCTTATTTAATCTCGAATAATCAATGGAAGATGTCAAGCCTTTCTCAAGCCTGGCAAAAAATTGTTCTTTCTCCTCTTGTTCTTCTAATGTGTCCAATCCCACTCCGAGAATACTATGGTTGAGCTCAGAAACTACTAGTTCTAAATGGAAAGCATAAATATATTTTAGTAATATACAGAATTTTGAAAACATTGATTTGAATGATGCATTTACTGACATTATGTAGTAAATTTAAAAAATTTTACAAATATTTACTCTCTTACTCATCAAATACGAATTCATATTAATAATATGTAAGGTTTAAAGCTTCTCTAGAATGGTAATTCTAAACCTCTAGGAAGATATTAAATCTGTCTATATGCTTCAGTAAAGGAGGCTTCAAGATAGTTAACTTTTGTAATTCTGAATATAAGCATAACAATTAATAATTGACCAACTCATATCCCTTGCATTTCTTACCATTTGTTTCTAAGCTATCAGTACTTAAGAGAGAGGTTCCACTGCTCTTAAGAAATTGAATCTTTTCAGCAGACTCCTCTTCTATTTCCATAACAGGTTGAGAATTCTTCTTTGTTTTCAAATAGCTCACATTTGTTCCAAGCTGTCCTAGGAACACAATTTAATACAGATGAACATTTATGTTCAAAGAATTGTTCTGACCACTATGACAACACAATAATAATGTTATGCTAATTTTATGCACAGAACCTACAAAATAAATCTGCTCTATTAAATAAAAATCCATCAGACCTAACACTCACAAAAGAAAGATTATAATTCTATTTGGTGGCACTGTATGATATCAAATAGAATACTTCAAAGGGTTGCACCATAAGACAAAAATTTTTTTAATCACTTTGAAGCCCAAGTACTTAATACAGTATACCATCCCACTTTAAGGAATATCTTCTGCCTCATTCCTTCTGTTCTTTACATTTCTCAGAGGGTTTTTGTTGCGGAACTCTTAACGCTATTGGAAATAGACTGTGGGCGGCATCAATCAGTATAACAAAATACAAGGGGGCAAAGTAGGTACAATTAAAAACCTACTAGGCTAGGCAGAAGCCTTCGTTAGTGTAAATATCATTTCAAAAAATAGATGGAAATAGTTAAAGCTCTTTCAAAGTCATTATTTCTAAAACAATGGCATCAGTGGCTCACTGCAGGAGAGGTTCTCACGCCAGGATATGTGCATATTGTTGGGGACAGGAGGGTATTATAGTCTCTCACAGCATTCAGGAATTTGAAATTTTCTCTAAGGCTAATATATATTAAGCATATTAAAAGTGTTTTATGACTGATTAGATGTTTGATGATACTAAGAAATTATTATAGATATTTCTTAGACAATATTTTTTGGTTATATTTTAAAAAGAGAGTACTTATTTTCAGAGATACTTTGAAACATATGTGGAGAGAACTGATAAGCTGTTGGAGATTTGTTTCAGTATAATCCTGAGTGTTGGAAGGTGGAAAATAAGAGAGAATATCGATGAAAAATGATTGGCCATGAGTTAATAACTGTTGCAGCTAGGCAATGGGTACACAGGAGTATGTGGCACTTACGTATATGTTTGAATTTTTTTATAATAAGAAGTTTCAAAAATGTTCTATGAATCCTGGGTAAAAAAGTATAACTTATGTTTATGTAGCAAAGGTTTGAGTATTATTTACTTTATTCAAATTTTTTGACAAACTATGTGCCTAGAACATTGTTAGTGCCACGTATACAATGAAGTCCTTTACCATCATGAAGGTTAAAATCTAACAGGAGGAGACAATCGACAGCAAATATTCATGGGTGCCTACTACACACCAGGCATTGTTCTAAATGCTGGGGCTTTATCAGTGAATAAAAAAGACAAAAATCCCTGCTCATTCATGTGATTTGAGGGAGGCAACAAGTAAAATAAGTACATTGCAATTAAATAGTACATTAGAAAACAGTTAAGTGCCAAGAAGAAAAATAAAACAAGAAAGAGGAACAGAGAATGCAGGAATGGAGGGCACTACAACTTTAAAAAGGATGGTCAGGAAGGCCTTCACTGAGAAGTTAACACATGAGCTATGGCTTGGTGGGGGTGAGGGACCAATCTATATGAATACATGGGGGAAGAGTGTTTAAGGAGGAGGAAAGAAGTGTGAAGTCTCTAAGGCAGGAAAATGCCTAGGCATGTGTGAAGAGAAAGGAGGCCCAATGTAGTGATATTGGCATAAGCAAGGGAAAGGTAGTCTAAGTTGGGAGGTCAAAAAAGTCAGGGTGTAGAACTGACGTGGGTGGTAGCTTAAATGAAGGTCATCAGCTTTTATAACAAGTGAAATGAGAAGCTATTAGAGGGAGGAGGTGGCTATGATGTGGTAGGCAAGATTTTTTGGTGTAAAGAAGTTTAAGGAACTCAGAAGTCAGGTTATTAGAGGCAACAGCTATGTTGTTAATGTAGTCACCAATAATTAGACAAGAGAATTGGAGACTCACAGTGAAACAGCAGCTTAAATCTTTGAGGAATGAGGAGGAATAACCCGGAGTTCAGTAGATAACTGCAACAAAGAAACATAGTAGGTAGGTGGCCTGATGGCAAGGTTCATAAGGAGATTGGAAGGAGAACAGTCTAGAAACAGCAATGAACAATAACCTACTCCTTTTCCAAGTCTAATGGAACAAAAGACGTGGTAAAGAAAACAATAACCATTGGAGGTTACCAGAGAAGCAGCACTGTTCATAGAGCAAAGTTAAATGTGAATTATAACTCTGCTTTGAAGGAATTATGTAAGATTAATTGGGGGGGGTATACCAAGACAGGAAAATCCAAGAATATTTCCATGAGGAAGTAACATTTCTGTTAAGATGTGAAGAAAGAGCAGGAAATAACTAGGTGAACTAGGCCAGGGAGACCAGTACAGGCAGGGGACACAGTAGGTACAGAAGCATGACAATGGGAGGGGCAGGTCACATTTGCAGATGCCAGAAGGCCAGTGAGGCCGGATTCAGATTTGAGGGTAAGCCTAAGGGGAAATAAACCCAGAGCAAGAAGTCAATGGTTGGACCATGCTCGTCCTCATAGGCCAGGCACACGGCCTTGCTCTGTATTACAAGAGCACTAGAAAAAACTGGTAAAGTTATACAGTATCAAAATTTCCTTATTTTAACAGTATATATTTGTTGTAAAAAACTGATATATGGAAAAGGTAAATAATTATAATGAGTAATGTTTTGTTTTTGTTTTTTGCTTTTTAGTATTCTTTTGTTCTTTGTTTTCTTCAAAAACCAGATGACTGAAAATGTGTGCTATAAATATTAAGATTAGAAAAAAACATCACTTTTGGTTAGAAGGAAGCCTTATTAAGAAGTCACAAATTCTGACTTCAATTTCCTAATTAGTGTCCTCTTGGAAAAGGCTAAGAATCAATTTATTTTATGCCTTTCTGTAAATAATGGTTTTACTGGATCAAATAATAACCTCCATAAGTTGTAAAAAATCAAGAGATAGATTCACAGATGCTTCAAATGCAAAAGTATATGCTAAGTTGGTGTGCTGTGGTGGCAACATGTCCAGGGTGTCACCCTGGCTCTAAAGCAGGACTCGGTGTTATAGCTCACACTAACCAAGCTCACAAGAGATTAATGTAACAGAAACAAAGATCCAGTTTAGTTATTTACAATAAAGAATACAATCAGCAAGAGGATGAGATAGTTTCACCTTCTAAGTTGATCATTTTATTCCTATGGCAACCGGGAAACAGGCAAAATTATAATGTAAAAGTTGCTCACTGTTAATGTTTAATGGTACCTGTCTTAAGATTAGTAATGCATTCCTCTTCTCAAGAGGGGTGTTGAATTCTCCCTCAGAAGGTTCTACACTCTTGATACAGGAATCATGTCTTGGCTTTTTATACTAATGCCTAGTATTTAGAACACAATATGAACTCAGTAAACATTTGCTTGAATCAGGGACCAGGTTATTCCCGTGGGCAGGGAAACCTCCCTCTGTTTAAGTTGACATTGCCAAAGTTTGCTTCTTGACTATCCTTCTTTCCTTCTTTCACTAATCAAATCTATTTTTGATACATTTAAAAAAATTTTAATACCATCAATCAGGTTACATGTGAATATTTTTGGTCTAGGAGCTATTCTTTTCCTGTAGGATTAAGCTGTATATATCTGCTCCGATTCATTATCTTCTAGACAAAAGGCTTTATGTCCCAAATCTCTGTCAACAATTCCAACAGTACTTCATCTTATAATATCCTTTTCAAGCATTAAAAGCAGGGAGAGATTCTAAAACATAATTCTTCACTACAAAGTTCAGCATGTTGCATAAGAATTTATAAAAAATACACTGAATTTTTCAATAAGGAATTTCTTTAAACTACAGTATTAAAAAGAACAGAGAAGTGACTGTCAAATCTACTTTAATATGCATTTATTAAACAAATTTATCGCTTAATGTTGAGGGTCAGGGGATATAAGGACAAAGAGGTGCTTCCTACCCTCACAAAGCTCCCAACCTCAGGACTTGTCCTACAGGTTACAACTATCAACCCAGTGTGTAAGTGTTACTATGGTGTTCTGACATCAAAATGAAGGAGAAACTAATTGTGACAAGAGAACTAGAAGATAGGGTGAAGGACTGCAAAAAGTGGTGATGCTAGGCTTTACTGGGTAAGAAGGATGAGAGGAAAGGCATTCTAATGGCAAGGAAGCATGAGATAATGCACAGAGGCAGGGAGGCCTATGGTGTTTTCCAGGAGATGAGGAATGATTTAGTATGGCTAGAACACACAAGAAGGCAGGGTTCCAGACAGATCATGCAGAGCCTTAATTATGACATGAATTCAGGCTCAATTTTTATGGGGGGAAAAAAAAGTCCATATGTAAATTTTTTCCCTAGAGATCCAGAAATTCTATCATTTTACAAAATTGTGCTTAACACTGATCCACAAATGGTATGAATGTAGGTACTGAAATAGAAGCAGTCAGGGTTGTTGACAGATATGGCAATATCATATATAGTAAACCTATCAGGCCAGGTGTGGTGGCTCATGCTTGTAATCCCAGCGTTTTGGGAGGCCAAGGTGGGAGGACTGCTTGAGGCAAGTTTGAGATCAGCCTGGGCAACAGAGTGAGAGACCCTATCTCTACAATAAATACAAAAAAATTAGACAGGCATGTTGGCATGTACCTGTAGTTCTAGCTACTCAGAAAGCTGAGGTGGGAAGATTGCTTGAGTCCAGGAATTTGAAGTTACAATGAGCTATGATTGTGTTACTGCCCTTCAGCCTGGGTATATCATATACATATGTATATGAGACATACATATATGTATATGAGACATATATATAAGACATATATAAGCAGTAATTTTTTTTTACTACTGTCATTAACAAACTGTGATACCAAAGTCTATAGGTTTGTTAAACTCTTCCCAATGCAATGACATTAATATACTGCCAGAATATCTTATTAAATCACATTAAATCAATTTATCATTAAACATGATAATATACCTGAATTGTCACCTTAATTTGAGTAAATATAAATTATCTCCATGTAAAATAAGCTGATAATGTTATAACACAGATTCTCAATTACATAATAAATAATAAAATACTAGTTATATGAAAATCAATTCAAACTTCAAAAATCCACACTATTAGTATTATTTTCTTTATTTATAGTGAAGTAACAAAATACAGGTCTTGACTGACCCCTTGTGGTCAAATAATTTGAAACTAAAAATCAGCAACATTTACCATCATCTTTAAAATCATCTTCAGTTATCCACCAAGGCACTGTATCTTTCTTCTTCATTTCTTTTTTAGATTGTCTAGCTGTTTTGTCTGAATTTTCAAAAGAATCATCTGAAAGCTGAATTGGATATAAGACAGTGAATTTGAAAATACAGTGTAAATTCAAGAATTTCAGATTCATCATTAAGCATGTTTCTATTAGTTCGCTCACAGTTCAGCTATCACATAGATAAACAACATTCTCACCAATAATGTATAAGCTCATAGCCACAAACATATTTGGCCAAAATAACTTAAAAATCAGACATACATCTCTGAGCATCAATTTCATAATTAAACAAGTAAACCAGGAGAATAACAACAAAGACATAAAACTTGATCAAGAATTTTTTTCCGGAAAGAAAAAATAGGAGGATACAATCCTGTCTTCTGGATATTCTCTAGGGTTTAAGAATAAACCTGGCTGAACAAAACTGCATAGCACCACTCTAGAAACAGAATTTCAAGAAAAGGAAGAACTGAGTTTCAGGGTGTAAAGAGGAGAATGAAATTGACCAGAAAAATCAGCATATTTTTTCAGCGATTAATAAACGCTTATTTGCTTTTTTCTACTCTTCCAATCCAAATTTTACTACACTCCTAAATCTTATGCTCTAACCTCAATACCACCCACCACCACCTAGCCAGTAACTTGGTCACCCTTTTCTCTGAGAGATAAAAACCTTCAAACACCACCCACCTCACTCCACTACTAAACTGACTTGTGAAGGCACTTCTTTCGTCTCTCAGACAACACAATCCTTTCCTCCACTCTAAGCAGAACTTCTCTAGGTTCTTCCTTCCTTGGTTATCCCATTTGATTTCTGTATGTTCACTCCCTTCTCTCTCTACTCCCCTCCCTTCCCTCTGATTATACACCTGCTCAGCACTGCATCTCCATTGCCTAGCACAGTACCAGGCACAATTGTGGAATGAAAAATGAATATTTACTCAACTTTGAAAAAAAAAATAAAACAAAACAAAAAAATTCCTTATCCCTATATCCATTTTACTCTACCTATCACATTTCCTTGACATACTAACTCCTTGAGTTCACTTAACCACTCATAATCTGGTTCCCATCCAAAACAGCTCTCCTCCAGGCACCAAAGGACTCCGAAATGCCACGAATAAAGTAGCACTGTCAGTTATCCTCCCTGATCACATCATGGAATTTGCTACTGGTGATCAACTCTTACTCTTACTTCTTGAAACTCTCTACCTTGACTTTAGTAGCATCACTTCCTCCGGGTTACTCTTCAGATCTGTGGCTACTCCCACCCATTGATTTTAATAGCTTTTGCCTTTTTGCCTATTTATTTAACAGGAGACTTCTCCAGGACTCTGCTCTTGATCCTTTTTCAATCTCATTCTACATTACTTTTTCTGGAAAAGAAATCAACATTTACTACATGCCTGCTCTATGTCAGGATCTACACTCAGGTTAACTCACTTAATCTTTAAACAACCCTGCAGAAATTTACTTATGGTGAAACTGAAGCTCTAAGAGGTTAAGCAACTTGCCCAAATTGCTACTGTTAGTGTTACGAAGTGACATTTAAACCTATGTCTGACTAACTCCTGTCCACTTTCCACTATACTATGTAGTTCCCCAACTAGAATATTGTTATCTGAGAGACCTTTTAAACTTCTAAAATGACAGCAGGCACACCCATGTGCGTGCACCACCCCCCCACACACACACACTTCCACTTGCCAAACAAAAAACTCTACCTTAGTGACTTGAAGAATGTCAATTTTAAAACGTTCAAGAAGAACTTACTGTCTTCACTAACAACCAGGTAGGAAGACAGGAAGAGGGAAGAAAAAATATTCCTTATCCCATCTGAATTTCTGAAATTAGCTGTATCACTTTTCACTTTCTCTCTAAACTTCAGTATCACCTTGAGGTGTTCCATTTCTCTCTCCTCCCATTTTTTCAGTTTATTTATCTGTAACACAGGCATGGTACCACTGACCTTGTAGGGCCATGACAAAGAAGAGAAAAAAAAATGAAGATTTCTAATACATGATAAGTGTTCTTACTTTGAACAACCCTCCACAGTGCTTCCCAGCACTTTCATTAATTATTTTTTATCAATATGATTAATTAAAAATGAAACAAAACAGGCCGGGTGCGGTGGCTCACACCTATAATCCCAGCACTTTGGGAGGCTGAGGTGGGCAGATCACAAGGTCAGGAGTTTGAGACTAGCCTGACCAACACGGTGAAACCACATCTCTGCTAAAAATAGAAAAATTAGCTGGGCGTGGTGGCATGTGCCTGTAATCCCAGCTACTCAGGAGGTTGAGGCAGGATAATCACTTGAACCTGGGAGGCAGAGGTTGCAGTGAGCCAAGACTGTGCCACTGCACTCCAGCCTGGGTGACAGAGCAAGGCTCTGTCTCAAAAAATAAATAATAAATAAATAAATTAAAATTAAAATTAAATAAATAAAACACAATAAAAAAAAGCTGATTCTCAGATATAACAGTTGTTGGCAATGATATGGAGAAACTGGAACTCTGGGCTGGGTGCAGTGGCTCACACCTGTAATCCCAGCACTTTGAGAGGCCGAGGTGGGCAGATCACTTGAGGCCAGGTGTTCGGGACCAGACTGGCCCACATGGTGAAACCCCAACTCTACTAAAAGCACAAAAGTTAGCTGGGCATGGTGGCAGGCACCTGTAATCTCAGCAATTCAGGAGGCTGAGGCATGGAAATTGCTTGAGCCCAAAGGCAGAAGTTGCAGTCAGCCAAGATTGCACCACAGCACTACAGCCTGGGCAAGAGAGCAAGACTCAGTCCCCCACTCCAAAAATAAAAGAAATTGGAACTCTGATAAACTAATACACTACTAGTGGAAATGTAAAATAGCACAGCCATTTTCGAAAATAGTCGGGCAAACACACAGCTATCATATGATACTGCAATTTCACTCTTTGGCATATACACAAGAGGAACAAAAACACATCCACACAAAAACTTGTACGTGATCATTCATAGCAGCATTGTTCGTAACTGCCAAAAAGTGGAAAGAACCCAGATGTCCTTCAACTGATAGGTGGAAAAACAAAATGTGGTACATCTACACCATGAAATATTACTTAGCTATAAAAAGAAATGAAGTGTTAACACATACTACGACATGGATGAACCTTGAAAACATCATGCTAAGTACAAGAAGCCAGACCCAAAGGGCCCTATAATACATAATTCCATTTCTACGACATGTCTGTAACAGGTAAATATTTAGAGACAGAAATCAGATTAGTAGTTGCCTAAGGCTAGGGAAGGGGGAAGGAGGAGATGGAGTAACTACTAACAGCTATGGGATTTCTTTCTGGGGTGATAAAAATTCCTACAATTGATTGTGGTGATGGTTACATAACTCTGAAACCACAGAACTGCACATTTAAAATGGGTAAATTAAATGGTATGTGAATTATGTCTCAATAAAGCTGTTTTTAAAAAGCTGGTTACCACTACTCTCCTAAAAATAGAGATATATAAACTGTCTTTGAATAAACTGAACAATAATTTATCAAAGTGAGAAAAGTTAGCATGACTCTAAAATCATGACTTTCATTGTTAAAAAAAAAAAAAGATATAATGCAACTGAGGATGGATATAAGAGGGAGAGAGACAGAGACAGAAGGGTGGGGGAAGGAGAGTATTGGAGAATGTGTGTGCTAGAAGGGTGGTAAATGAGTGAAGAATAAAAATATCTTCTAAATGGCCTGTTCTGCTATCTTTTACAGTAGAAATCATTCTTATAAATTTAATTTTCAAAATGTGTCTGTATTTGAAATTAAAATCAACTTTTCAAATGGTAAATGAAACTTATTCCAAGTGCCTAATTACATCTTGGCAATAGGTAGATGCTTTTTTTAATCCTTAAAACAATCCTACAAAGAAGGCATTATTTTTCCATGAGACAGACAATGAAAGTGAAGTTTTTTTGTACCACATTAAACTCCCCCTCTTTTTTTTTTTTTTAACAAGAATGTATGACGTATAATAGCTTAAAATGTGACTCTCTTGAATGCGCTACAAGGCCCATCCATTTATATAAATAGAGTTATGCATCGCTTAATTATGAGGATATGTTCAGAGAAATGGGATTTCATCATAGGAGCATCATAGAGTGTATTTACACAAACCTAGATGGCTCCATGGTATAGCCTACTCCACACCTAGGCTATATGGTACATAGCTTATTGCTCCTAGGCTACAAAGCTGTTCGGCATGTACTGTACCGAATGCTGCAGACAACTGTAACACAATGGCAAGCATTTGTGTATCTAAACAAAGAAAAGCTACAGTAAATATATGGTACAAAAAATTAAGGTACACCTTTATAGGGCAGCTCCATTATAATCTTATGGAACCATTGTTGTATATGTGGTCTGTTGCTGACCAAAACATCTTTATGAGGTGCATGACTGTACAGAGAACGTGGTATGAAAATTTAATGTACTCATTCAAATAGTTATTATTTATTAGGTACTATACATATAGTAATGAACATGTTGATATGTAACAGCAATGAACATAGAGTCATCACATTACAGACCATACATTCTTATAATGGGAAGCAGAAAACAGACCCATACAAGAAAAATAATTAATGTGCTAAGTGCTATAAAAAGAATTAAATACATACTAGACTAAGAAGTGACTTTCTGGTTACCTTTTACTGGATAAACAGAGGAAGCCTCTCTGAAGTGGTGATATTTAAGTTAAGATTTTCACCAGCCAGGTAAAGAGTAAGGGAGGAGCATTATTGGCAGAGGGAACAGTAAGTGCAAAGCTCCTAAGGTGAAATGAGCTTGAAATGCCTGGGAGAGAAAAAAGGCCACAGTGGAAAAATAAAGTGGATGAAAGAGGAATATGAAGGCAGTGAGACAGGTAAGAGCGAAATCATGAAAGGCTTTAAAACCATGGTAAGGAGTTTGGTTTTTCTTTCTACATGTGATGGGAGACCAACAAGAGTCTTTTACTGGGGAGGAACACAGTCTGGCTGCAGTGTGGTGAAAGGAATGCTGGGCTATGAGTTGGGAACTGCTGCAACAGCCCCGTTGAGATGATGGCACTGAACTAGCAGTGGCAGAAAAGGGACAGAGCTAGAGGGATGATGGGAGTTGACAGTTTGGTGATGGACTAACTGTATCTTCGAGGTGACAGAATTGAAGGATGAGTCTTTTGAGACAAATTTGACAATACAGTTTTTAAAAATATAAACTTACCTCTTTCATAAACTGTTCAAACTCTTCATCTAGCTCTTCTTGGGAATGGTTAGCCATAGTCAACAATTTTGACCTCCCAAAGTAAACATGCTAAAGTATCTCAAACATTGGAAACACTAAATGACAAGAGACATAAACATCTTTTGAGGAAATCCATCACATCATGAACACGGTAAGACTTAAACTTCAGACATTTGTTATGATTCAGTATATGTGCACTTTTTTTTTTTTTTTTTTTTTCTTAAACCCAGTAAGCTGGTCAAGAGATTCCTAATTCATTAAGCAAACTGATTTGGAAAATCAGCTTTGACAGGATGTCTTGTACTCAACGTTCAGAATTATGTTTTCATCTGTTAACATCCAATTGTTAAAGAGTGGTCTCTACTATATTTCCCAAACCTATGTTTGTGTACATGTGTTAATTAGTACCTCTCAAACACAAACCAGGTCCTCACAGGGAATCTTAAAAACTGTAAGTTAGCAAATCCAAAGGACTGTTTCTTGCAAAGCACACAACTGTTTGTGCTGCCTTATCACTCGGCTGGTTATTTTACCAATCCATAGTAGTAATATCGTAAAGCAGACTGCACAGTTTCGTAAAGCAGACTGTATCCAGATACGGGGGTGTTTCAAAATATACACAAATAGAATTTAGTAAGAATTAGTAATTTAGTCAAAATACTTACAGAATACTTAGAGTTAATGAGTACACAAATCAGTACTATGTTTCTTTTGAAGCTAGGGAAGACCGACAAAAACTATGCGCGGAACACAAGCAGAATCCAGTGATTTGCAACGGAAAGCGTTCCCCTAGACACCTAATGAACCCAACCGTGGGTCGACCCCCAGCTCCTGAACTCCCTAGAGCAGCTCAAATTCCAGTTTTCTTTTGTAGAGATGGGGGAGGGGAAGAGGGCTCGCAGACCCAGACAATACCTTCCCCATTGTGCAGAATAACACCTCTTCCCCTCATTAGCACTTTCGATCAGTTCAGGGTAAGTGCGGTTAAGGTCTTGGCCTGAATAGCTTGGTTAGAGGTAGACTCCACCAAAAGCTTCTCGAGCCTGGCTACGACCCCGTCCCCGGAAGCGCGGGTTCGGGAATTAGAGGGAAGACAAAGACGCATTGGCCGTGGGCTCCAGGCGGAGAAGGGAAATGACCCGGAAAACTAAAGCCCTTCGGTCGAGTATGAAGTACGGCCTCGGCCAGGACGATTTGGGTGGGAAACCAGCGTTCACACCTTACCACCTACCTCTGCCTCCCAATTCCGCGCTTTCCCGGAAGGTCTGTACGGGTCAGCCGGTTGTCAGGGTAACAAACTTCAGCTGCCGGGTTCTGGAGTCACATGACCCGGGCTGGTCACGTGGGCCGTGGGTTTCCCAATGCCTTTACAAGCGAAGGTTGGAATAACCAAGGCTCAGAAAGACACTCTAGTGGCTAAACCTTCGCTGCTGCAGTAAAATGCCTTTCCTTCACTGGCTTTCTCTACGTTCCTTAGAAAAGAGGACGGCGGCAAACCGGTTACTGTAGAAGCGAGACGGAGGCTTCCAGCGGGATTGGGGGCCGCGGTGGTTGTAGGCCAGCCCGTGGCTTTCTGGGAAACGTAGTTTGGCTCCACTGGTGCTTGTGTTTCCTCACTCCGCATCTTCGCCTCCCAGCCTTCCCCATACTTGTCATTCGAGCGCTCTGTTTTTCCAAGGGGCAATTTTGAAGAGATTGAATTTCTTGGATTTATTTGGCGTGCAAAGACCTGTGTAGGCGTTGTGAGAGAAACACAAACCTGTGAGGAAAAAAACTGTCATTTAGATGGGGACTCTGTTCCACCACCTAGTGGACAAGAAATCGAAAATACTCAACCAGCAAGATTCTTACTAAGTTATTGCTCAGAGCTGGCCTCAGAGCTTCTCTGTGGCTTCCCGCTACCCCTACTTTTCAAAACTCCATTCTTTACTGGCATTTCACAATTACTGACTTGGATTTTGTTTTCTATTTATTTTCTTTTTTCAAAGCATACAACATTAGCTGGAGTTTCAGAGGACAGCATTTAGCATAGTGTAAGTAAAATCTACAACAGCTGCAGATTTTGCTGATGGTAGACTTAGTTCGGGACCTCATCTTTAGCTAGAACTGTTTATTCTTCAACTCTTTTTTGCAATCCAAATATGTACGAACCAGGAGCTGTGGACTATGATGCAAATATGAATAATAAAAATATCTTAAGCTAGCATTTATTGAGAAGTTGACTTCCTGCCACTTTCTATCAAAGACTTATCTTCCCACATATGATCTAGAGCCTTTACACATTCTTCTTCTCACTGATCTTGTTCCACTGGTCATTTCCGCATAATCCTTCGACTCTGGCTGGCTGTGGGATTTTTCCTAACAGCATTTGAACATGCCTTGAGATCCTCACCTAAAACATCACTTTTGACACACTCTCTTCGTTCTATTATTTCCCAGTGGTTGAAACGATCTCTGTCCTTACCTTACTTGCCAATCTTTTCTGAGGAATTATTTCCACTTTAGCTCCCTTTCGTCAGACCTTTGAATCCTGTCTCTATATGTGTAAGTGTACATATATGACAGCATTTTATTTGATCTCCCGTTACTATTTGATACACTTGTCCCTTCTCTCTTTCTTGGTTTTTCTTTCACATTTATAGCCTCCTGTCAAGGATTTTCACTGCCTCCATCTATCGTAGCTGACCTCTAAATGTTAGAATTTCTTTGCTTTTCTTCTTTTTCTTTTTTTCTTATTCTTTCTTTTCTTTCTTTCTTTTTTTGAGACAGAGTCTTGCTCTGTCACCCAGACTGGAGTGCAATGGTGTGATCTCGGCTCACTGCAACCTCCACCTCCTGAGTTCAAGTGATTCTCCTGCCTCAGCCTCCCGAGTAACTGAGATTACAGGTGCCCACCACCACACCTGGCTAATTTTGTGTTTTTAGTAGAGACGAGGTTTCACCATGTTAGTCAGGCTGGCCTTGAACTCCTGATCTGCCCACCCTGGCCTCCCAAAGTGTTGGGATTACAGGCGTGAGCCACTGTGCCTGGCTAATGTTAGAATTTCTTAGGGGTTATTTCTGGACTCTTATTCTGTCACACTTTATGGTACTTCCATACACCTACTCATTCAAGACAGAAATCTAGGAGTTCCCTCTCTACCATATTTTATTCATCAAGACTTGTCAGTGCTACCTCCAAAATGTGTCTCTATTCTGTTCATTTTACATCTTAATTACTAATGACAGAGGCATCTTTTCCTCTTGTCTGAACTGCCTCACTAGCCTTCTAACAAGTTTCTCTATTTCAACTCCTATCCTCTTCTAACCCATTGTCTACACAATAGAAAATGTGATAATTTGAAAATGTAAATCAGGTTACTCCATTGCTTAAAATCCTATAATGATTTCTCACCGTACTTGGACTAAAATCCAAATATCTACAAGGACTTGTATGATATGGTTGGCACTACTCTCTTCTACAGCCTCCTCTCACCCCCACTCACCAAGGCATGCAGAATTATTTGCAGCTCTGGTACAGAGTTCAATCCTATTGAGGTTAGAATTGAAGCTTTGGTATAAGGAGTGGAGGATGTATGTTACTGTGTCTAAAGAGTGAATAATCATTTTGTCTCTATGCATAAACCTACAACACTTATGCTTATAGGATCCAATAGTTTGTTATACTGAATTGTGGTAGGAATGTCACTAAATTTTTGGTACTCAATTGCATTGTTATACATTTTTCGAAATAATAGTCATTAAAAGAATGATTAATATTTATTGAGAGTTTACACTGTGCCATATAACTATTGTATTCATTTTTATAAAATGAATTGACCTCATGACCCATAATTTAAAACACCGTTTAATACCAGCTCTCATCATAAATATGTATCTAAAATGTCAGTGAAATAGTTGCTTTAGTAGTTAAATCACTCTGGGTAGCATCAGTTTCCTACTTTTATATTCTCCATAATTGTTACAGGTTTCTCAATTGTTATGTGTTTCTTTTTGTGTTTCCTAGAATGATATGAAATTTGATTTATATTTGGTGTTTATCCAGCTCTCTATTGAGGTTCTAGAGGGGGAGACTGTACCTCAAGCCTTATATTGCTTTTTCTCATAGCAAACAGTACAGTGTGAGAACTCAGTCAACATTGACAGTATGGTTGTAGCCAAGACCTGCAATGGTAATGGGATGTAAACTTAGCACATTGTGGGAGTGGATTAAGGAGAGGAACTGAATCAGATACAGTTACACAATAGTTCCAGTTGCTTGCTTCTTTACCTCTAATTTTCAGAAGGGGGCATTCTCTTCACGTATGTGGATAATGAGGAAGACACCGAAGGAATCATGTCATTCTAGTCATAAGAAAATTAATGATTTTTTTTTTGTTATTGCCATTGTTACTTTGTTTGTCAAAGTCATTGTTGACTTCTGCTCGTTTGTCCACATCTGATTGCTTTTGACTACTTAATATTTTTCTTAATTGTTTTATATATGAAATGTAGTAGTCAAAGTTTAAGCTGTTGTTATAAGTTTTCCCCAAGTAAAAGAATAATAATTATTCATAGTAGAATATTGAGAAATTTTACAGTCATATTTACAAGTGTTCAAGTGTTTCTAAAATAGAAGCAGATGCTCTTTCCCTAGAGTATGCAGAGCTGCCCATTTACAATTATATCATGAGCTCATGGATGGTGATTTAGGTAATGAAATCGTTTTTAAAATAATTCTTTAATAATTCAGTAAATGGCCACTGAGGATGTCAGTAATTTGGCTATGCTTCTAAATAATACAATTAACAACATGGTTTTATAATTATTATCAAAATGCAAAAACACAAAAATTGATGAATCAAGGAAAAACTCAGCCTATGAAAGACCCTGTAAGAGGAGGAAAAGACAAACTAAAGATTAGGATAAAATATTTGCAAACTGCATATCTGACAAAGGGCTGCTATCTAGAACATATGAAAAACACTAGTAAAATAGTAAAATCAGCAAAATACACAATTAGAAAATGGACAAAAGACACGAGTGGACATTTCACCAAAGGGGACATGAGAAAAGTATATGAAAATGGTGAATAAACACATGAAAAGATGCTCAACATCACAAAGATATTCCACATCATTAGGAAAATGCAAATTAGAACCACAATGAACTATCACTGGGTGAGGGCAGGTATGAAGAGGTAGCACAAGAAATCTTGATCGTTCTGTGTCCTGATACAGTAGCAGTTATAGCAAGCTACATATTGATAAGATTGCATACGAATGCACACACATGCCACACATATACAAGTGAGTGCATATAAAATTGGTAAAATCAAAATGACCTCTATTCCATTTTCCCCAACTTTCTGTCAATCTGTTACTAGATAGAATAAGATTATAGGTTATATATATATATATATATATATATATATATATATATATATATATGTTTCACAATCCCTTCTTCTAGGAAAATCTTGTGAGAAGCACAATGGGGGTATAAAACAAATAAAAGCAGAGTTGCCATGGTTGGGAGGCAGGTGAAGGATGGTTTTGAGCTCTCTTTCTATGCTTTTTTATTGGCCTTGAAGGGACCTCCCCCAAGCTCCAGAGTGCTGTCTAGAACTGCTTATTTTAGACTATAATTCTGTAACCCAGATAATCACATAATTTCTACATGTCTATTAATATATAATCAATGTAATACATATATGAATTCACCAGCAAGTTAGAGAAATAATTAAGTATAAATATGTGCTTTAGTATATATACAAAATTGTGATTTTTAGCATATCTAAAATATGGATTAAGCTCATCTGATTATTAACAAATTATTAGGCTGTGTGTATGTGATAATGTTAGTCTAAAATTAAATTTTTTGTATTCACATATCTTAGATGATGGTGAGATGATTGGATACAAGAAGAAAATATTAGAATTTATTTTCAATGTATTTTTATCTTAAACTTAATAAATTAAAGTTTGACTAATATTGTGGACTAATTGTAATACATGTATTAATTTATAAATAAATATTCATAAAGTGAGTGTGTTTGCCTCCAAATAGTTTTACTGACAGGGCTATGTGGAACATTACTGATTTATTGAATGGAACTCTTACAACACAGAATTAGTTTATTAAAATATGTCAATAAGGTAGAAGTTTGAAGTTGTGTTTATTATTTCCTGAGCTACCTGTTTTGGATTACAAATATCACTATTTTGTTGCATTAAGAAACTCTAATAAAGAAAAATGATCATAATGTCTTTGAGCTAGAAGTATTTTTCTAGTCACAATCTGTAGTCTTAAGCATAAATAGGCCATATAGAGTCATTTTCTAACCCATGGTCCTTT